ACATAAGAAGATAGAATTAAATTAATTGAAAAACTTTTTTCCTACTGTATTTGAAATATTGCAGTGTGCAGGGTATTTTTTGACCTGGTCATTATAAACATCCTGGGTGTGCACATTTGCTCACTTAAAGATGCTGTCAGTTTGCTGCAGTTCTTCCAGAGGACCGATACACCCTCTTCACAAATTTGATTCTCTCCACTGGCCTTTCAGTAGCTTGGAGAAGGATTCCTTAGGAGTTGCTCAGTGAAAATCCGTAATTGCTCTGAAACACCCATTAACAGCCATCCAAGGACATTGTTCTCTGAATACCAGCTCTGTGGAAGTACTTTGCTGGCAGAAACCAGTATATAGAAATTCCAACAACAGAAATGCAGTCTTTGAAATAATAACGAATTAAGAGTGAACTTCTCTTTGTATTTACCCAGCAATCAGTTCCTAAAACACAGTAAAAGGCTAACCCCTGATGCAAGTGCAATAGACTGCAAGGCCTATAAAAAATTATTAGTGTTGAGTAATTTTTAGACGTGGAACTGTATAAACACTAAACACCAGGGAAATGTACTCTAAGAATTAAGAGAAATCAATTAATGACTGTTCACTTATAGACTTGTAAGTTGAAACTGCTTTTCAGGTATTCATGTTTTGTATGCTCAGAAGGAGAAAGTCCTACATTAAAATTAGGAAGAGGAGTAGTCTTTGTGCTATGATGAATGGAAGGAAATAGATGTATGTGATGTGACATTGCAGACAACCTTGTAATCCTGATTAATGGGTGTACCTGCAGAAAAAAAGAGGTTTGGCAAAACACTGACAAAATCAATACCACTTTGAAATGATTATGTGTCTTGCTACATTGCCTTGCTAGTTGTGGAGAAATGAGTACATGTATCCAAGTGTCTAGTCCAGCAACTTGATGTAATGCAATTAGAACACAAACAGGATCAGTATATAACTTTTTTCACTCACAAGACCACATGATAGTATATTATATCAAATTGGCATGGGAATGTATCATCCTTTCCTTATCTGCCTCCAGGTCCTGCAAAATGAAAATCTGGCTTAAATAAGTCCATATTAGTAAGTCAGGATATCTAAAATAAAGATAAAATATTTAATATATGTCACAGTTAATCAATGAAAATACTGTCTGGTTTGCTAGGGGCTTCAGCACCCACTCTGAACATAGTAATTAAAATGATACTTGGGACAGCCCACTTAAATACTTCATCTCATCTGGGGTTCAGAGGCTTGCCAGTGCCGCTCGGTAGTAGTCTCGGCTTTCCTCTCTACCATCAGATCTGCGGAGGAGGATTTCCCAATGCTGGATTTCTTCTGCCAGTGTGGCTTGTTGGCTCTGTGGGCACCAGCTAAGCCACAGGTTGTGCTTTCCTGTGGGTCTAAGATCTCCGTTGCTGAAATAATCACTGTGCCTTCAGTTCAACAAGCTAATTTTACCTGGTGGATTGAAGTCCAGCTTGCAATTGCCCCCGTGTGCAGTAAAGACAGGGATATGTTCCAACACTGGAAGATGTTTACTATAATGCTCATTACAGCACAAAGTAAAGACCATTCTAATAAAACTTGATGAGCTTTGTACTTATAATAGCAACTCTGTAGAAAAAGAAACATGGAAAGTTTTTCGTTAGCTGCTGGTGTGTATTTTCAGGAGAAAAATATGAACACTCTCAACTGAAACTCTCTTTAAGAATTTGGAAGCTCTGGAGAGCTGAGCTGATGAAACAGCTGTTTGTCATTCCAAAACCTGCAGCCTTGCTTAATTCTAATAATAGCTATACATAACCTGCTCTTAGCATTCTTTTTTTTTTTTTCTTCATTCTGAGTATTTGAATTTGAAGAGTTTTAAAGCAAAATATTTATGTTAGTGAAATAACCCATTAATGATGTTGTCACAGGTTTTAGAAATTATTTCCAAAAATATACTGTATCCTTCTTTGACAATTAGGAATTGTCATTATCTGCTCTTCAGGAATTAAAAAAAACGTTACTTAAAGTTGAAGTTATTCGTGGATGAACATGGTTATCACTAAAGTAATCTGTTCAGGTCATTGGACATCCATTATCAACACGTATATAACTGTACAAGCTCCATTTCATCACTGTCAGCTGCTGAATGGAGCAATACTTTTTCCATCGTGCTGATGGATGCGGATGCACATCCTCAGCTCTGACCTCAAATTGCCACGACAACGCTGCAGCACACTTCTGACATTTTTCTAAACAGTAATACATTACTGTGCATCTTACACAGAAACATGTCTTAATATGAAATAAGAATTCCTTAACAGTAATGTCTTTCTCACTTCAAAACTATTACCTTCGTAAATGAAGCAAAATCATGAAATAGTGATTTAAGAAAATGGCCAACTGGAGAAGGCTGCACAGCAGTGACTCAAGATGGTTATCAACCTGGACTGGTTTTATCTGTTCTTTCCAATTTACAGGCTCTGATCATTTTCTGTGATCTCTGCCTCTTGGCATTATCACTTGCAGTGATAGAGTCTCTTGTAATTTAATTTACAGAAAGTATATCTCATGGAAAAAGGGCTGAAGAACTAAAGGCTTTGCAAATGGGTATATGGCAGCTTCCTCCTGTCAGCAAACGTACTGTCTGTCAGCAGTGTGAGACTTAGAACCTGCTTCAGAGGCACAATAAATTCTGGGTTACGATATAAGGAACTGAATGTAGATACGACTGTGGTGTGCTGGACAAGAATTGAGATGAGGATCTTGTATATGTCACAGATCTAAAGAATATAATGTTCTTCTCAATCTGCTTTCTGTGTTAAGTAGCTGATGTTAATTAAAAAGGTCAAGCATTTCCTGTAAAACCAGGTGTCTGATTCACATTTCTGGCAGAGGAAAGAAGGCTCAAACTGCCTTATTGTAGACTTCCCTTTTTTTTTTTTTTTTTAATATAACAATGCACAGTACTTTACCCTTTCCCAATTAAAAGAAAAATGTTGCCTGTAACAGCATGTGAACTTTTTAAAAAATCCAATAGAAGTTGAATTTTTCTCTTGGTGATGGTACTTTTGTCTGAAGTCTCAGATCACCTGTTATCAGAGCCTGGCTGATACCTTTTGTTGGGTGCTTGGGTGTACCTGCAAGTGTGTTCAGAGACTCATCCAAGCTGCTGGGGATATTTGTTGCTTGGCCATTGGGTTGCATTGCCATTCATCTTGAAATTGAGGAGTTCTCAGCTTTCCTGTGTATTTTGTTATATGCATGTTACATGTACATATTAAATGTACGTGAAATGGAAATGTTTTGATGTGAGCATTCTAATTTCGTAAACATTAAGCTGGTTCTTCCTAGCTCTCAGAGTTAGGTTTGCACTAAGTCTAGGAATTACTAAGTTTTATTAGCACACTAGTGGGCATAAGATCATAGAACCACTTTAAATAATTTCTTTTGGTGGAGAAAAATGTGGAAGTGAGTCTGTCCCACTCTTTGCTAAATCCTGATTTGTTTGAGTTTGGCAGATGAGAGAGAATGGGTCTGACTCCAAGGTCTGTTGTTTGCATTCTCCAGTGGGGGTCTGTAACTGTTCTAACATGGGCTGGGAAGGAAGCATGCTAATGAATGGTTCAAATGAAATACAATTCAAAACAATGGGTTTTTTTTTGAACATCCACTGCAATACGTAAGACTGCAGACAGTTGTGATAAAAGGTGCTGCTTTAGTCCTTTTTCCACTGGGGGAGTGGCAAGAATGAAATTCTAGTGTGAATCTTTCTTAAGGATATAAGGGATTAATATGTCTTAAAATAGTCACCATCACCTTAGAAATGTATTTTCCATGTTCGAATATGATGAATTTTTCAGTGAAAAGACTGGTTAAAAAAATGGTATTTTCTCTGTTCTTCCAGCTTGTTTGTGGATTTTGAGATAACTTGTTTACCAGATAGTTAAATTCTACAGAATTTTAAGAACTGTTGCTGTTTTATGTGCTTGAGCAGGCATGCATGCTTCCATTTTGCAGGGTTATTTTAAATGCTGGTGATTGTGTGGCACCACAAACTCTTTTTTTGCTAGCAGGACCACAAGGCAACCTGGAGGTGGGCAGCGAGCTCGGGGGGGCACATGCTGCCTTCAGGAGGGGTGACGGCAGAAGTGGGGCCACCGCCTGTTTCAGCTATGTGCTTCAGGGGATAGGTGTCTTGGTAATTTTCCCCCCTCTTTTTCTGAGTCTCCAGCAGCAAGGTTTTTGTTCTTTTAATTCAGCAGATTGTGTTCTGCCAGCTTGGTTAATAACTGGGATATTTGCTGCTGGGGGTCCAGAGCAAACCTAGGCAGAAGGACTGAAATTGCCAGCTCTGGACGTGTAACGGAGCAGTTGAGCATATGCAGGGCTCCCTCCCACTGGCGGGCAGTGACGCCAGCATTGCCAGAGGAATGAGCATGGCATATTGTTTTTCCCATATGCCTGATTATTTATTTATGCGTTCCGATTCATAATAGCATAATAACAGACTTGAAACAATAAGATAATTATTTCGCTTCTTGGGTGGTTAAAATTAACTGTGCTCGTTGCATATTTATTCAGTAAAAAGATACAAGATGTTTAGTAATTGCCCAGAAATTCATTATCTGCATAATGTTCTGTTTCTAAATGTGTATTGCATGACCATTAATCTGTGCCAACAGCAAGCATGCAGCAATATCTGATGTAATTAGTTTTCCCCTTACATGCCAAGGAGAACATCTGGGCTAATTGCGTGTTGTTGACAAAAGTTGCCATTCTAATAGGGGTCCCTGTTTGTGCACACACACACTCATTATACATACAAACATACTCATGATTTCAGTTTATCCTCAAGCAAACTGAAAGTTCTTACTGATGAGATGTTCTTGGTGATTTGTTACTGGGATCATACAACGTCTGTGACCAGCATTAGTAAATGTTTGCAGGAAGAATATGCTCTCCTTTTAAACAGAAAACAAACCTGTAATGCCGCTTCTTCTGTTTTATTTTTCCAGCCACCGCTGGTCCAAGCAATTTTCAGTGGTGATCCGGAAGAGATACGGATGTTGATCTACAAAACTGAAGATGTCAACGCCTTGGTATGTGACTTGGCATGTTACGTGCCTGTGATACCTAACCACCATGCTTGTCAACTGTTGCAATGACAGTATTAATTGTGTCCTTCGTAATTAACACATAACAGAATGGAAATTATTTGGAAGTTAGAGACCTGGGGTTTCAGTGGAATCCTAATTAGTATTCGGAAATGTAATTATCTCCAGCAGGTGACTTTAAATTTTTTAAGTGTATGGTAATTATTCCAAATGTGCAGGTCAGTTGGGGACATTTTTTTTCTTTCTTACTGGGAAAATGAATAAAACCAGCTGAAAGCTGCATATTTTTACTCTCTGTAGAGTTTCCGTTTATGAAGAGTCTTTGCAGATCAGGAGCTGTTATTCAGTATTTGCCTGTACTTGAAATAAAGCTTCACTATAGGTCTCAGCAGTGAGAGTAAGGAAGCAGTATCTTGGCTGTGATTTGCCCACAAAGGAATTACTGTTCCGCAGATTGGCTTGCTCCAGCCAGAACAATTGTAAGCAGCTGTAAACAAGTAGTAGTTAAGTGTTTTGGCAGTGAAAAAAAAAATAAATCTCCATTTGAAATTGGTCTTTTTGCAGAAGTTGGGGAGTTTTTTCCCCTCTTTGATTTTAACTTAAACCCGTACTGTTAGAAATGAACCCTGCCAGTCCTGACTACAGTCTGTGGCCTCTGAAAGTGGTGCGAATATAAAGCAGAAGCAGAATGGTGATTTCCAGGTGTTTCCTGGACTTCTGAATCAACCTTTCTTTTCTTCATGTCCTTCCCTGATGTAAAGCCGTCAGTTTATTCATAGCTAACTCCAGCAGTTTGTCTGGTGTAGTCTTGGCACTGTAGCTTTTTCAGGCAGTGGGGTCCAACCGTGTGATTCGGAGCTGCAGAAGGGAACTGGAGAAGTGATCCTACAGATCTGGTTAACAGGGGCTCCGCTCCACTTGCTGTCAAGTGGAAGGAATGATTTGCTGCTGTTTTAAATGGGGAATCTGGACAAAGATGACCTTGATGTTAGGCTTTTCCTGTGATTATCAGTACCCAGTCATTTTCTTGAAATAAGTTCCTAAAAGTGCTTCCTTAAAGCATCATCTCCCTTGAGTTTCCTCCTTACTTGTTTTCCCTGATGGTATTAAAAAAAACAAAGGAAAAACCTAAAACCAACTAACCAACCGAAAAAAACCAACCTAGATGAACATGACAGTGCTAAAATATCCTCTGTATTTCATGCTGGTTTTTGAAAATATAATTTCCTGTAAAAGGTTATTGTAGGCTTCTCAAATGTTTTTATATGCTTTGGCTGCAGGTGTGGGAGTGATGTTTGCTAGGGCAATGCTCTCAACTCTCAGGTGCAATATGAAACAAAGAATATGTATTTTGTAGATAAGTAACAGATACCTGATAGAAAAAGTCACAGAACTTGGATGGTCTTACCCAGAATCCTGTTTAAGATGCTAAAAGTCCATCCAAGAATGCTTTGCCTGAACAGCTATTTTGTCAGAAGCAAAAAACAAAGCTATTATTTGGAGTAATTAGAAAAATACCAGTCAACACAAATTCTGAAGCTTGTATTCTGGATGGTAATTGCAGACAAGCGTCAAATGCTTAAAATGTCACTGAACAAAGATCAAAAGATAGCATTTTCCTCCCTTGTGCTGTGAGCTTGCAATTTGCGCTGCATGCTTATGTTTCTATTTTAAAGGTGTTTTTAATTACTTCCATATTAGTGTTTCTCCAGTGCTTGGTTGCTCACGTGAGAGGAAATTATGACACTGTTTGGCAGCAATTTGCCCTTTGTTGATCGTTTTGGTTGGTTAGCTGTGTTAATAGTGGAATAGTTCAAATGTAGGTAGGACAGGAAAGTAAAATAAAACTGGTTTTGCATCAAGCTTTGGGGATTTCTGAAGTTTTAAAAAATGTTTTTTTGGCATCTGCAGCAAGAGAGGGATTTGGAAGGCAGAAGAAAAAAGCACATGGAGCAAATATGCAAAATCAGTGATATATATGCATACTACCTAAAGGATAATTAATCTTAGAAGAAAGTGTATAGAGCAAATCAGAAGTTTAGAAGGTTACTTTTTTTTTTTTTTTTTTTTTGGGTCTGGTAAAATAATTAATATCTTTCCAAGCTGGAAGTGTGTGTTGGTGGAAATGGAAATGGCTACATTATGAATGCTGCTATAGTTGTGACTTCTATTTTGCAGTAAGTTAAAGCTGTAACTGTTTGGCTTAGAAGTGTGGGTTTTAGTTCCTTCTGCCACTCTGAGGGTTGCTTTGACCTCTCCAGTGTCTTGCTGTGCCTTGGGGGACCATGATGCTACTTTTGCACCCTGAGGGCATGGACAGCGTTCTCCTTGGCTGGTGGCGAGTGGTTCCTTACCACTGAGCATTCAGGATACTGGGTCGGACCACCCAGACCACCAGATTAGTTTCAGGCTGACATCTTTCGTGCTTGCTGCTTGGTACATTTAGAAATATCAGGGTGTTCGTGCTACATGCATGTATGTGGGGCTTTGGGGGGATGACTTTTTTACTTTGGGAAGAGTGTGATAGAATGGCACAGAGCCTTGTTCATGTAGGAATTATTCTGGATTCAGTGGTAACTCCTGGTTAGCTGGGATTCGTAATAGATGCAGCTGTGCAACGTCTTACATATGCAGAGTCCAGTTCTTATGTGCAATTTCATGATTTTCTACTAAACCAAAATCCTTCCTGTAAAATTTCCATTTTCATTTCAGACTTCTAGTTTAGTTTCCCTTCAGAATATTTAAAGTCAAACAGAAAAGGCAAAAAGACCTTCTAGTATTTTTCCCCATAACTGATTAGATGCTTGCAAGCCAAACCAGATATTTCTTTCCCTGTTTTTCCTCCTTATTCCCTAATCTTGCTTTTTCTCTTGGATAAAACCCTAAAACCTGAAACTTATGCAAAACTTTGATTGCCCCGGAAAATCTTCTATTGCATTCATGTTTTGGGGAAATTAAATAACATCCCCCCTCACCCCTGCAGTGAGACTTGGGAAAGCATATGTTGCCTTCAACAAACTTAGTTGCTTCTGTTTCTGATGTTGGGGCCTGAGTGCTAATGCTGCCTTCTCAGCTTGATCCCCATGGCCTCTTTGCTCTACGTTCTGCCCGCTGCTGTTTCTCTCTGCTTGCTGATGTCAAGAAGGGCTCATGCAAATGCTCCCCCACTCACTTTCACCAAGATGATATAGCTTAGGAGGAGGTAATGATGTAGCTGAATTTGGCTTGTTTTCATTGCAGCTGAGCTGCAGAGCCAGCAGATCTGGGTGGGCTGCAGGAACTCCTGATGGGCCAGACCAGGGGTGGGTTGGGGCCGTGTGGAGGTGTAGGGACCCTGGGCATTGCCTGCACGTTTATAGCTGCCAAGCAGCTCTGCAGGGGAAGGGACAGTGGCACCAGCAGAGATTGCAAGGCCCTACACGCAGGAGCATGTGTTTAGAGGGTGGTCTGTTAGAGTATAAGGAAGGCAAGAAGTCAGTTCTCATGGAGAGACGTGGATGTATGCTGTTTACTGCTTCTTTTTCTCATTGTCCTACTTGTTAAGGCACAGATTTGCAGGCCTGCTTTTGTTAGGAGGATTCAGGCTTTATCCAGATCTTCACACACACACACAAGTTGCATACGTAGGACAGGGATAGCTCTGTGATATTGCTAAGCATGCTTTTTGAGAGGGTACAAGTGTGCACACGTTTAGGATTGTGCATCTGAAAAGCTTTGCATGCTTGGGATAGCTAATGTGAAAACCAGTTTGTTGTTCAGATTGGAGTGACGTGTTTGATTTGGGACTAAGAGAGATGGTAATGTGGTATTTCAGTGATCTTGGGGACCAGACGCTTGCCTCTGCTCTTGTCCAAGAACTGATGATTTTCTTTCTGACACTGCAGAGTCTCACAGGAGAATGAAGCTATCCTGGAGGTAAATGTGCCTCTTCTAGATGCAGTTCTGCTGTGCTGGAAAGTCTTCTGGAGGATTTATTCAAGAATTTTGGAAGCCTTCTGCTTTGACACAGTATGACAGTTTGGTGCTGCCTGATAGCTGTGTTTTCAGTGGGTATTTAGCCTCTAGTGTGTTAATGTAAGTGGGAAGTGCTGGAGGATACTTTTTTTTTTTTTTTTCTACAGAAGGAACTTATGAACAATTTTCAGGAATGTAAGAGAACTGGACACTAACATTGCATTGATGTTTGTGATGCAAGGCAATCAGTATGACTTTAGAAGAAGCATTTTTTCTGTTAGAAAATAAATAGATTTTAAAATATTTTATAAAGATGATGTTTGAACTATGAAGAAGATTCTGCTGGAGTTTACTGAGTGTCTGAAATGTTGGGAGTTGCTTTGTACAGCATGCTAGTATACTAGTGGGTACGAAGTTTTATAGACATATATATCTATATGTATATATCTATTTCTGTCTGTGCTGGTGACTCATATTATTGTTGTCCTCAAAATGTTTGAGACAGTTAAGGACGTATAGGCCATTAAAAGCTCATGGCAGGGTTTGTCTGTAGCTGCTTTATTTTCTCCAAAGGCAGAAATGTCTGCCTGAAATACCTGAGGTTTCTAAATCTGCTTTTCCCATCAACTCACAAGTGATGTATGCTTTCCCCCCCCCTCATTTATAAAAATGGAGGAGTCACTTAACTCTAGCTTTGAGCCTTACATTGGAAACTGAGATAAGTATTAAAGTATTTCCATTAACTTTGGATAACAGTTTCTACAGTCTCCATCTAGGATTAGTAATTAATTTTATAAGTTATCTTTTTCTAGCATGAAAGCTACTGTCAGCCTCATGGAAGGAGAGGGTTAGATGGGGGAGGAGAGGGAAGAAAATTTTTCTTGTCTCTAGAAGATCAAAGTATTTGCTTCTTTCACTTCATGAGCACTTGGCAATTAAAGGCTCAGTCCAGAAAAATCTTTGTTTATGAGGCTAAACTGAAGACTGGGGGGATGAGAGGTGCTGAAACCAGGATCTGCAGATTGAGATGGGAACTCCTCTGCTTGGTAGTAGCAGAGCGGGCACCAAGCATAAGTTACACAGCTTGACTTTCACCTCCCAGCTGGTGCTCACAGCTAAGCATTTTGATTTGCTTTGTGAATTACAGGCTTTAATAAAACAATCTGTGAGAAGGAGGAAATCCTGAAGCAGCAGAGTGTCTATACAACGTCAGCTTTTGGTTCTAAATTGTTGTAAATACCTCAAGAAGTAGCTGCTGGTTTGCTTATATTTTTTTCAGTTCCTAACCAGTTCCCAATATTTAATTTTCATGAAGCCAAGCTGTATCTGAATCTTTGGGTTTTTTAATAGTATCAGCTACTTTGTGCTATTTGAATAAGGTAAGCTCAGATCGAAATGTAGCTAATGAACAGGAGGTTTGCTTCTCTTACTGTTTTGTTTAGCCTTGTATTAATGGAAGCTGTTGCCATTCACGTGCCTCTAATATATTTTAGTTTATTCTGCCACCCAGGCAGATCGCTATCCGCTTGGAAGTGGTGGCACTTCCTTCAGTTGGTTTCTGTGGTGTTTCCTTCTGCACTGAACTAGTCTTGTTGGCTGCTCAGTCAGTTTGGTGATAAAAAGAGGATACAGGCATTTATTTTCTGTAGCAGTTGCACTTACATTTTAATAGTAAATAACTGTTCCAAACATCTTTTGATCTGAACAGCTGTAGTTGATATGAAAGTTCAAATCCATTATGTACTTCGAGATGTAGGCTGTGTTGAGGAGAAACTGTTGGCTTTTTTCTTAATGTGCCTGAATATTTTACATATGCTGATATGATTCATCCGAGCCACCGTTCTGCTAATCTTCATGTACTCTGGGGCTCTGATCCAATAAAGCACTTAAGGACTAGACTAACTTTAAGCCTGCAAAGGGCCTTATCAGTGTCATTGTGATCACTTGAACAGTTTAAGCACGTGTTGAGTGTTTTTCTTGATGAGGCCTTCTGTCCTTGATTCCCTGTTTGTTAAAGTCTTAATTTCCTTTATTGGTACTTTTTTTTTCTAAAGTGTACAGTTAATGTTAAAATGCAGCATCATCTTTTCTGTGAACTAATATAATTCACTAATACAGTTTTGGGGAGAGAGTGCTTATCTCAGCATGATTTTCTAGCTGTTGTTTAGCTTATTTACTGTTTCTTATGGATCTTTTGTTCCTCTGAGAACTGCACTTGAAGCAGGTCTGATTATTTGTCTTAATGCTATTTGTAATCCCATTAAAATTTCTTCCCCCCCCCCCCCCCCCACCCCCCTTTCCTTGCCTTGATTATGTATGTTCAGGTCTGGGGTACTGCCAGACCTTTCCCTCAAGTGACGAATTTCCTTTTTATTCCTCTCTCTGTCTGTAGCCTTCACTCTTTAGATCATTATTGATTTACTTATTTGTACTCCTTTCACTGCCATCATGCCACAAGGACATCTGTAGCTGAATAGACGTTGATGCACTGGCCAGACACAAAGCCAGTGGGCTATTTAAGTCTTGCTAAAGGCAGTACACGTCTTTGAGGAAGGAGCAAGGAGTGTGGCTGGCTGGATGGGCAGAGGCCCCAGTTCCTCCATTTCTGTGTCAGCCTCGTGCAGAGAGTAAACAGGAACCTGAGGATGTTCCTCTGTTGAGCTGCTCAACTGCACGCTCAGCTGCAGATGTTGTGTGTGGACTTCTGCCCGCCAAACTCCTGAAAACATTGCCTGTAGGGCTCTTTTGTGGGCTTTTAATTTTCTGTACCGTGCATCAGGTTTTGTCACCTGCTAGTTCATGTGAGGGTGAACTCTGACTTGTGCCTGGCTGTGACAAATGGAGAAATTTTAGGGTTTTTTCCTCTTGGAGAAATTAAGCTTAAATTTAGTTGCATCACTAAACCCACCTTTCTCTGAAGACTTGATTCTCACTTCATTGGATAAGATTCTGCATTGCTTTTAAGAAGTGAAAGCTGAGAATTCTTACACAGAATTATTCCTGCTACAGAAGGCTAAAAATTGTACTTTTCTGTTTCATGTCCTTTCTTCCCACAATTATAAAATTTCCATCAGATTTACAGCTTAGTATAAAATATTGCTTATAATCAATAAACCACTGAATAGCCTTGGTTCCCTGATAAAGAAAATTGCTTGGTCTTGTATCGTTAGCATTCGACTTCAAACGACTGTTTTCTTGCCAAACTAGGCTGTGTTGCAAGAAGCTGATGTGAAATTTATCACTGACAGGTAGGATAGCTATTACAAATACTACATTGTGCTAAAGAGAGATTCATACATTAAAATTAACAAATGAAGAAAATAAATAAAACAGATTCTATTTTTGTACAAATGTTCGATCAGTCTTAATGTATTTTCTGCAATGGATAGCCTTAGGATAGGTAATATGAAGCCATACTTATGAAGGGCTTCGTCATGTAGCCTGTAAAAGCTAGTCCATGTTGGATTATGTCTTAGGAACAGAGTGTATCAGAAATCAAGCTTGTGATTTTGACATAGCTGGACGGGCACGGCTTAATATTTTTTTGTCTACCATGTGTGGAGGTGAAATTCTGTAAGATACCTTTCTCTTTGACCTGTGACAACCAGGGTGTCACATAATCTGTTTTTTGAGTGTTTTATGCGCATGCCCAATATATAAGATCAAAACCCATTGCATCAGAATTTGAGGACTAAACACATCATGTATGTTTGAAAAAATATACAAATATAAAAATTAAATGTAATTTATTCTGGTGACCAGTGGCTCTGTGCCTTGCAGTGCTGGAAAACAATTTTCAGCATTCACATGACAAATGGTTCTGCTGCACTAATTTGTCCACATTTATAGCATATTTTGAAGATAGTCCAAAATAGCTTGCGGTTGATGAACTCTTGGTCATGTTAGAAGTGGCATTTTGCTTGACAGGCTCGGAGATATGTTTCAGGGAAAGAGTGTAAGTACAAATAGGGTTTCTGTGTTAGGATCATTTGCAGAAAGTGATGAATCTGTTAACAGTTTACAGTATTTAATGCTGGTAGGTTGTAATTTGATAAGTTTGATAAGTCTCGTAAAACTTTTTTTGTATTAGTGGTTAGGAAACCAAAATGCAGTACATTTAGGACTGGAAACAGGGGTCAAATAGCATGATTATCAGTTCTTGTGTTTTTTGTTGCCCGTATTACAATGTTTAGCAGTTTATTTTAAAGGCCTATGTTCTGGAATCACCTGAATAACGCAATAAAAGAAAGATTTTTTTTGTAAACACTGTATTTACAAGTAAGAAAAGAACATCTTGAAAATGTGACTCTCTAAGGCTGAAGATTACCGAAATCAAATAAAAGTAGATCTATTTCAGAAGTTGTATATATGATTATTAGCAATTCTTCTAAATTTAAAGACACAGATGACTGGTAATATTTTCTTTATTGGTGTTTAAAGGTCAATCAGTGTGTACAAGCCCATTTTGGGCTGCTGTAGACAAGCAGGCTAAATGGTGTACAAGAACTTTTGTAGACTAAGAGGATTGCATCTCATCCTTGTGTGTGGTTCCAAACCATTCCCAAGGCTATGGTTCCATTCCATACCCTTCTGAAGAGTCTGGTGTTAAATGGTTGATGCAAACTGCATTACAAAGTCTAATGTCCAGAAACATTTCAATTATGTTGCTGCAGTACTTGAGTGGAAAATGTTTCCAAAAGAGAGCCAAGGATGACGTCTTTTCTTACTTTAGAGTTTGATTTGGTCTACCTGTGTAAAGGATATCAAGTAAAGATGATGTCTCTGCAAGGTCTGGTGGAACCAAATGATAAAAAAGTTGAGGATTATTGGGAGGAAGTGTGTTGTTCAGACCTTGAATGTTGTTGTTTCACCAGTTGAGATTGCATTTCTAATTATAAGCAAATACACATAGAAAAATAAACACTATATACAAATCCATTGCTCTTCAACACTAATGCTTGCAGCTCTTGACCATGTTTTATAACTGGACGATCTGTGGTTTTGTAGGATGCTGAGAAACGAACTCCTCTTCATGTTGCATCATTCCTGGGGGATGCAGACATCATTGAGCTTCTCATTTTGTCAGGTAAGGTGCTGTCCCTTGCTGTTATTAACTGGTAGATTAGCTAATTTTAAAGCTACAGGGAATACCCCACAAAGCATCTATGTGTGAGCTTTGGGCAGTGCCTATTTCTGAGTTTCATAGATCTGGTTGCAGTTGTTACAAGCTTAGAAAATACATTTAAATTTGATGATACAATTATAAAATGTGCACTGTGACTGAACGGAATTAATAAACAAGGCGACTAGTTTTTAAAAACTTCTAATGAATTCAAACTGACGATATTTGTGGATTCAGAAACTTGCTGAAGTACATATTTGAAATGTGGGCTCATGTCCTGGAGTACAAGCCAAGAATTTCTGTTAAGCAAAAATTATTATGGAATAATGGCAAAAAAGTTATGAATGAGTTTGAATGAATTGTAAGTGGTGTTTACATTAGAAACATGATTCTAAGTGTCGGGAAGTTGATTCGGAGAATAGAAACTGTGCAGTAGGATGTATCTAAACAAAAAAATAAAAAAAATACTTCCAGACTGTTGTAGTGACAAAAAACATGATCAAAATCTGTCAGAATAAAGCATAAAGAAGACATCTCTCAAGAAGTACACATAATTCATGGCAACCTCCAGGATGTGCTTGCAGATTTCAAAGGCAGTGTTTTTCTAAACTGGAGAACTGTAAGGGTAAAGCTTATGGGGGATTAAGAATGGGGAATTGAAAGGAACCTCATGGTACAGTTTAAGTCCTTGCAAGCAACCTTGCGATATGATTGGTTTCACAAATTATTAGACTGCCTCTTCAAACAAGTTGCATTTTTTCTTTTTAGAAAGTTATTTCAGAACTATCAGTCCTGTGATTGCGAAACACCTTCTAATTTCCGACCTCGAATCCTAGACTAATTCAGGCTGGAAGGGATTTCTAGAGGTTACCTGATCCAGCCCCCTGCTTAGGGCACCAGCAGAATGATTTCTTCCATTGACAGGTTATGCTTGGGTGGGTTCTCAGTATGCTAAATGCAAACATGATATTCTTCAGTGGGAGGTAACAGTTAATAAAATTCATCTATGCATGTGTTCTTGCAGTGTGTGTTGTTTGTCACATACTGTTGTTCTGTTGTGATGTGAGAAGAGACGTCTTTTTTCAGGTTTTGCAAGTAACAGCACAGGCAATATCCATATAAAGAAAAAGGTGAAGCTGTTCTGCTCATTTCTTGCCTGAATCCCAACAGCATCAGAAAATGTCCTGGTGAACATTCTTGTTTTCTATCACATTCCTAATGAGGGAAGGAGACTATCTAATGTTCTTCTGGGATACTTAGTTCCACCACCTCACCGCCTAAATGTCATCCATGGGCTATAGGGTTTGTCTGGTCAACAGTATAATATGCAGGTGGTATGTCTTGGGGTTTTTTTATATATCTGAGTGTGAAAAACTTATACTGGGGGCTTTTAAAAATTGGACTTTGTATCAGTGGGACTGTGCTGGAGTTTAGTCTGCAGATTTGTGTGGATCTTTCTCAACTTGCTTAGCATAAGTCAAAATTAATCTTGTGTTACATATTCTACCTATTCATTGCCCTTTAATCTCTGAAGTATCATTGGAGGTTTATGAGGTTTGGAGGAGCAAATTTATGAGTGGTTATAAACACCTCTTTGTCATTGCGATCTCTTGGTGAACTAGGCTCCAAAGACAACAGCAGCATCTTCCATTTGCTTCAACCTCTTCATTCAGTAAACTGTATTAGTAAGCATGTATTGTAAAAGATTAATCTGATCATAACATTTAGTTGCATAGGCAGAAAAACTGTTGTTTGTCTTAAAGTGAGACAGTGTTTTCACAGAGAGAAAGCACAAAAATGCTTGCCGTTGATGTCAAACAATCATATTCCCAGCATGAGTAGAAGCTAGGAGGAATAGCAACCCATTGCATTTTGTACAGGGCTCAGGAGAGAAATTAAACGAAATATGAGTGTTCTGCAATTTGTGACCCATGAACTGGTGGCAGCACAAATACATGCAGTGTCTAATGAATACAACTTCTGCCCAGGTGTTTGGAGACAGACCAGAAATGGCTTTCTAGGTAGCCACTGAAATGGAGTCTGTTTGGAATTGATACAGGAGAGAGAGTGCCAGACCACTCAACTGGCATGAATCACCCTGTCCCATTAAATGTCAGAACTAGGTAGATTTACACCAGCTCGAAGGTCTGATCCATAATCATGTGGTTTAAGCTGGGGAAATGTGCTGTGTGGTTTTGTTTTTCCAGGCTACATGAAAGCAGGGAACTTTGAGCACTTCTTGTAAACCTCATTTCTGTCAAGAAGGTGAAGGACCAGGGTAACCATCTTGCATAAATGAAGCTCTGTATGATGACCGAGTCACAGATGTGCAACAAGAACTGTCTGAGCAAATACAAGCTCCATTCTCATTTATACTGGTGCCTTTCTCCCTCCTGGGTTTTGAGCTGGTGCCCGAGGGCATAATATTTGAGTTCAGTCCCTTACCCCTTGTTCCCCACCAAGGAGCTTGCGATCTTGTCAATATCGCCATGCCTTACTATTTCAGAAGGTTCTGAGTTTCTTGGCAAGAAGTTACACACTAGGGGTGTGTGTGCGATATTGACATCCATCCTTCATAAATTACACAATAGTTGAAGAAAAGGATAAACCCTGGCATGCTTTGAAAGGGTTCCTGGTAAGATCTGCCACATAGATTTTGGAAGCGAGACCGTCACATGTGCAGCAGGTCCTTGGACATCCCTGTTGTGTAGGCAGCAGGGGAAGGTCACACATTCAGGGCTTCCTCTTTCACAGCATGCTGAAGAATCGGCAGGTTGGAGAAGCACCCTTCTCTCTGCCTTTCCCATGGCTTTGCAACTCCTGTACTTGGGGATTAGGAGTATCCCCTTTGGGTGAAAGTCTGGGGGATGTTCCAGGACTATCTCCTCTCTCCTTCATGAGTGACCTAGGCCCTGTGTCATCTCACCTGGTGGGATCCCCAGGCCACTTCCCTCCCTAGCAAGTGACTCGACTTGCCTCCAAAGAGATCCTGCCTAACCTCCCGTTCTTGCCACGTAGGTGTTTGGTTCCTGTGTTCGCACCTATCCACGGTGTTGTGTTGCTCTCATGTTGTGGGTCCCAGTTACATCTATCGGGTGGTGCTGCTCTGTTGGTATATTTCATTCATGCTGATCTTTGCTTTGTATTGTATGTTTGGCAGTGGGGGTGGGGGGACATTCCTTAGATTTTTGTGTACCTATTGCTGTATCTCACAGCAGGAGTTGGAAAGGTGCTTATTAATAATGTCATTAATAGGTTAAAGAATAAAGTTTCCTTCTTCCGTTGACCATCTCTAATTTCAGAAATTTAGACTGCAGAATCTAGAGACCTGTGGATTTGGCAGATGTGCTGGATGGAAAATTGTACTTTGGTTAGGATAAAGAGATGTTAACTTTATTGCTGAAAGCCAGCATCAGGTTGTTTATTTCAGATCTCAAAAGTACTGAGGCATTTTCAGATGTATTTCCTCTTCTGGCAGAAAAATTTAAGAGTGAAAGATGGCAAAGATTACAAAACAGCCATATTAAAGAAGAGTGGATTATAGAAAGTTTCCTCTCTGTTGATTTTATCTGTGAGGTTATATGTTATTGTCTACTTCTGCTTCACAGAGCAAATCCAACAGCCAAGCCTTTCCTTCAGGCCCATGGGTACAAGCCCTCCTGAGCGCAGAGTGTAGAGGATGGGGCTGGGAAAAGCCCCATCCTTTCTCTGGAGAGGGTTTTTTTTAAGTGGATATTTTATGGGGTGGCTCAGTGCCGTGGCTACCTGAAAGGAAGTTAAGGGAAATCTTTAAAACAGCTTTTCAGGGAAGATTGTACTACAAAGGACACCATATTAACCAATTTGAGTGTGTTATCAGCCCTCTTTGCCTTTATAAATACACAGATTAATTCACAGAGTATTGTGGAAAGTGCATTGAAACACCATTGACATATTTGGTCCAGAGTGAAGAGAGGAACACTGAATTTCTGGGTGACTTTGAGGAAATGTTGTGAGATGGGTTTGAAAATTTAAGTTTCTGATTTATGGACACAGCTCACTTTCGGTGCCTTAGCATGTTGTAGCACACTTAGTCTTTGGAGTTGGATTTCTCTGTTACTCAGTGCTTTCAAAGAGCTGTTCCCCAGGCTATCACAGTATGGACTCTCAAGTTTGTGAAGTGTAGAGGACACCTTTGAAAATATGAGCATTGCTCCCTGGGTCCCTCCACTTGTTTGCCTTTAAAATGGCAGATACTTTCTGTCCCTGAAGGAGTGCATCGGTGCTGGTGAAGTTTTTTCATTGTCATTAACAGTTGCGTGCAAAGAACTGCTTGGAACCTAAAAGCTGAACTTTGGTGATGGAAATGGGCAGTACGGAGGGAAACGTTTGGAAACGTCTCATCAGAAACTGTGCACCTCAGTAAATGGACAACGGCAGCCCCTGTAACAGGCAGCAGCTGAATTGTGCAGCTCTTTAAAAACAGAAATCGCAAATGTATTCAGCAGATGCATTGATTTAGATATGCAAGAGCAATTTAACTTTGTCACGTAAAGAGTCCCAAAGCACAGAGGTAAAGGCATGTGGAAAACAGCTGAGGAAGAAAAAGCTGATAGCATGCTGTGTATTATTTTATTTACACTGGTATTGTTTTGCTTTTATTTTCTTTAGCTGTTTTCTTGGCAACTATTTCAGTTTCTCAAAGGGTAAGTGGCTCAGTGAAAGGCATGAATAACTACTGATGGAGACACTTCCCTAGGTTTTCTAATCATCCTAGTATTCACCAATGCCACTGGAGTTGTTGAATACTGAGGAATGATATGTTTGTCACACTTTGCTACTTCACACATAAGCCTTTCTGATTTGCAACCATCTGCTTGTAGGAGTTAGTGAATGGGTAGAAATAAACCAAAAGAAACCTTAGTTAAGAACATAAGGCAAAACCCCAAGGCAAATACAAAATAAATTTCTAAACCCGAAAAGAGGTATTTGATGGCAATCATCAGGAATTCATCTAGGCAATTTGCATCCCCAAGACCCCTACCAGGCCAAATCAGTGTAAGGTAAGATGCCTTGGAGTCCTGTCTGTCAGCTTTATGATGGTGGAGGATTGTTGCCTTAGTGTCTCTAGAGCCTCGGGCAGTGTAGGCAATGGGCAGGATACTAACATGTACCAACCATAATGGCCTTCTGGTGAAGTCAGAAGCAGCTAACAGCTTCCTTGCTTAGACAGATTCATTAGAAAACTCTTTGAAACTGTTATCTTTTCTAAAAGGTGTTTTTCCAGAGGGCAGGTTGTACCACCAGATACCAGATTCTAAGGTGAGTTCGGAGGATTGCCTCCAATTGTTGCAATATTTATGAAAGTGGTTTTCTTTTTGTTGTAGCCAAAAATTATATCCAGCTTGCGGAAATATGAAAGAACTTGTTTTTTCTCTGATTACATAGCACAATTCCCAGTAACCACTGTGATTCAGAGGCAAGCACCTTAGTATTCCTGAGAAATGGCTCTCGGAAAGTACTTTTGATTCAGAGAGTGTGATTTATTAATTACAGGCTTTTGTGTGCACTTAAGTTATGGTGCAAAATGAAGCTTAAGAATCCCTTTGTTCATGGAGTTTGGAGTCTTATCCAGGTTATGTGCATGATGCTTGTGCTTCTCTAAAATTTTTCTGCACGTGCCAGTCTCCTCAGACTAGTACTGCTACCTGCAGACCTGAGAGGGTACAATGTTTTCAGGTTAAGCCTTTTTTAAAATCAGTTTCTCTAGTACTTTTCACTAGGCTGCCTTTCTGGGGTATCACATTAGTGAATATATTTAATATTTCTTTCAAAGAAATCTGTTTTATCACACAAATGTTCAGGATCCTTTTTCTTGTCTGCAGTCAGCCAGCAGTGCTGTAGTTCTTAAATATTCTTCCTTTATTCTGGCAAAGCACCCCAAACCCATCCTCTTGTGCAGCTCTCTGTCAGAGTGCACGTTAGCACTGAACTGCACAGAAGGCAAACGGATAGTCTCCTTCATCCCTCTTCTGACGTTTGCAGAATAACACCCACGAAAGCTGAGGTAGTAAGTGCCAAGTATCCCCCTCAACCTGAGCATTTCCCGCTCCTGATTTCTTGATCCCAGCAGGATTTGAGAAGCAGGGAAGAGTTTATATCTTTTAGTAGTCTGCCTGGTGGAGCTGGAAATAAGAAGCGGTTGTTCAGGCTCGCTCCTTTCATTGTGTCTGCAGACAGCAGCAGTGCTCTGAGCAAAGGGTTGCTTTTTGTCCCCGACTGTATCAGTTGATCTAAAAGAATACATATACGTAGACACACATGTGCATACATACATACATATGTAATCCCCAACAACAGATCTTCCTTCTTTTGTGTCCTGTAAACAAATCTATTCCCGATAATAGTCTGACCTATCCAGTTCCTTTCTTTCCAAATCAGGCTTCAGCTCCTATCTACCTGGGATCTGGAAATGCATTTCCAAGGTGAACAGGGTGCCAGGAGAGTCCTGGGGAGCGCCAAGAGTACCACGTATCGCACAGCTCTTCTTACTAGGAAACAGCTGGGCAAGGCTGTCGGTGCCGCACCCAGGGCATGGATGTAACCTCTGCTGTTTACTTGCAGGCGCTCGTGTTAATGCCAAGGACAATATGTGGCTGACTCCTCTCCATCGAGCAGTTGCTTCAAGAAGTGAAGTGAGTAAGATTTCATTACCCTGCTTTTGCACATAAACTACATGCTGGGGGAAAAAACAAACCACTGAGAGCCGTAGTAGGTAGCACGGTGATGCAAAGAGGGAAAGCGTTTTCTGTGTGCAGGGCCTTCAGCACTGCAGCTAGGGGCCAGCTTTTACAAGTTATTGAGCCTTAATGTTGTTGATGTTCACGCTGTGGAATGCTTTACGTTACTGTAGCAAGTCATATTGAGGAACTGTCAGCTGGACTGGGTGATGGGGACAGAAGTGGGATAGAGTCCACCGTGGTCTACAGTGGCCACACCATCTTTAAGTGGTGAAATAAAGAGGAATAAATCCATGTGGATGTGTGCACGCTGTGCGTGTGCCAGAAGGGAGTGGATGTGTATGTGATCCAACATGTTTTACCACATAGTTTGTTTTGGTTAATTGCATTTCAAGGCATCCATTAGGTTTTCTGTTAGTGCATTTAATTCATGCATAAAGGAGGGTTAGCCCATATTTCTTCTACTTGACAACTAGAAATATTCTGGCATCATGTTGTACTTCTTCTGTTGCTATCTCAAAAAGGAGCAGCAATAACTATCAGGAATGCAATTTGGGCATGACTGTGTTTTCAACTGCATCATTATTCTTGGCTTTCCATTTTGGACCTCACTGTATACTTTTATCCTCCTAATACTTAGTTAACAGTGAGCCCAACCGAGCTGGCTGCTGGGGACAAGGGGAGGGGTTGTAAAAGAGACAGAGGGTGGCTGTCTTCCAGAGATTGATGGACTTGAATCACCTCCGTAACAGTCCCAGCACTTGCCAAGCCTGGAGGCAGGAATCCTGAGCTCGCTTCTGAACTCAGGCATTGTTTGGCTGCTGGCTGAGCTTCCCAGCTGCTGGCATCCACTGAAACCCTCTGAAGGGAATATCTGATAGATTATGAATGCTGTAATGAGGCAAAATACAAAAAGCCATGTTGGAAAACAAAGGTCAGACTTAAACCTTAAAAAACAGTCACAGTCTTTCTGGTGCAGGAATTGCAGTGTGCTTGGTTTCTTTTTTTGGATGTGTCAGAGTACATGATTTTTATTGTCAGTGACAGTCCTAACAGAAAATGCATGTCTTTCTGTGGATTTGTGTCTCATCTTTAACTCTTCGTCAGCTGAAGGCCAGTGGCACAATGAGAAACTGTCTTCCATTGTGCGGGCAGTTCTGGCACCTCAGTGAGTACCCAGGTGCAGCAGTGAGGCGGCAGGGGAAGGCACCAGCCTTTGATGCCTTTTCGTGGTCTGCTATATATTTCGTAAACACAGAGAGCTTTCTTCTCCTGATCTTTTTTCTTTGTTATTTACATGATAATTTCTACTTTAGGTACTAACTTTGAATCAAGATTCAGCATTTTGAATCTCTTTCAGTGCTGCTTTTACTTTATTACACAAGCTAACAAATGTGCAACTTCAGTGTAATAGGGTGAAACTGATAGTGATAGTAGGAGATAGCAGTAGGTGAATTCACAGTTTACATTGATCGTAGGAGATGAATTCACAGACCAAAGGTTGACCAGTAAGACTTGATGTGGTTTTTGAAGTTCCTGTGAGCACAGATGCTTTTAGAATGTTCACCTACAAGTTTTAAGTTTTATTATCAGTCTTCTACTGTGAAGCTTTCACAGGATTCAGAAGCTTCTTGCACCCTTTTTATGATTAATTAAAATCACATTTTTACTTATGTCTTAATGATTTTTTGGGTGTGTTGTAAGGATTTAAATGCTTATTTACAAATCAGCAACCCTCAGGTGTGTCTGTACAGGTTGTTAATGGATGTGTCAGCTTTCAGCCTTATACGGTTTGAAAAAGTAAAGAGATTTCACTCTGATAACTTGGGATAGCTAGAGACACTGAACACAGAGGCTTACACCATAGCTGTGGACCACATGCACATGTAGAAATTATGTAAATAAAAAGGGATACCTCGTGCTTTCCAAAGCAATAAAATTAAAATTTCTCCATAAAGATTTTAACATTTTGATCCCAAATCTGATAGAGCAGTATAATTGCAGATGTAAACAAAAATATGTAAATGGTTTTTTTAAAGTCTAAATATTTTTAGCTTAGACTTTTCAGTCCTTACTATTTACTCCTAAGATTTCTCTTTAAACTTTTTCTTTCCTTCACTGAGAGTCAAAGTGCATGAATTTTTCTGCTGACTTCATGTCCCAGCTGGGGAGGTCTCCAGTGAGTTACATTTAAATTACTTTTAAAATAGTAGGCCTGTAATTTGAAAAACAAAATCCTGTTGAGACATCAACAGTGATCTGTCATTACGGGTGATCTAAGAGATGCAATGTCACTGACTGAACAAATCAGTTAGAGGACAGTTTGTGAGATGGCTGTAGAAAATGAAATTGCTGAGATCAGTTGAGGACAAAGAACTAAAACTCCCAGTAATAGATGTTCTGTTGATACAGACTCCAGGAAGTCTCCTGGGCCATTCTAGATACAAAAGTGCTATTTAAACATACTGTATGTGTGTGTTATTCATTAATGAAATTTTGGCTAGGCTGACCAGAAAACTTTTCAGTTTATGGAGAAAGAATAAAGTACTATGTAGGACTAGAGCTTTCCCACTTACCAGCTGTGAGTTGTGATTAGCAGACAAGCCTACTTGAATGCTACTGTGTCCCAGTGGTTCCTTTGTATTTTGTTTGTTTGTGGAATAAAAAGGAAGAAGAAACAAAATGTAATTTTGAGAGAGACTTGTTTTTTCATCTGACTTGCTTAATGGCAGATGCATGAGTAGAAGCAGAAAAGAACCGATTGTGAATTTTCCAATGAGACAATTTCTCTCAAGAGAGAACAGTACATTTTCTCACTGGGAAATATTCACTTTTAACCAACAAAATGAACCTTAAAAGATGTTGTTTGGTCTCAGGCTCACAGAATGGATGTTGCAGTGAAGACCCTTGGCCCAACTTAGCCCTTGGGGAGGGAAGGAATGCTGATGCTAACTTGGGGACACCAGCATCAACCCTTGCCTGTGATTCTCATGTTTTTGCAAGGCTAAAATTTTGTTTTCACATATTCTGTTTTATTTTCTCCTTTTTCCTGTTTATAAATAAAACTTACAGCATTTTGCTATGAGTTTACTGTCCAAAATGATGTGCTCTTCATTTTGTAAATAATTTTTGTAACAGCAAGCTCAAATAAGTACATTAATTTCTTCAATGAGAGCACAGTTATGATGACTTGAGGTTCTGAAGGTTAATCAATGGAACAGGTTGGGCTCTCTGCGTAGGCGGCTTTGTACATACTAAAATCAAATTGGAAAATTTTGATTGTGAGGATACTGCTCTAAATGACACCAGAGGTGATGTGCACTCTGGCATATGAATCAACAATACCATTTCGCTAGCCTGGGAGGTTGTTCTGATAAATGTAATTTTCTTTCCCTCCTCCTGGCCGTGTCTGATATGCATAGGTAATATGATCAAGCTGTCAAGGAAGTGTGCCATGTATTTATTTGAACTGCTTGGTTATGGATATAACTGTGTTGCCCTTGCAGGAAGCAGTGCAAGTATTGATTAAGCATTCGGCTGATGTCAATGCTCGGGACAAGAACTGGCAGACACCGTTGCACGTGGCAGCTGCAAACAAGGCAGTGAAATGTGCAGAAGTCATCATCCCCATGCTGAGCAGCGTCAACGTCTCTGACCGAGGCGGGCGAACGGCATTGCACCACGCAGCTCTGAATGGCCACATTGAGGCAAGTTGTTTAAGAACGGAATTGATCATTGGTTTATTTATTTATTTTCCCAGTTCAAAGAGTTGACCTGCCGTGGCTGGGTCTAGACTGAGCCCCACATCCCTGACCCCCACGATTCCTATCATTCAGCTGGTTTCCAAAATGTGCAACAGGTTTCCACCTGCAGAAGCAAGACAGTGGCTGGAAAGTACCTCTGCAGAGCCAGCATGCAAGTGAAATGTGCAGGCAGACTTGGAGAGCTGGTTGTGCCACTGGCTTCAGCAGCTCAAGTGTCTCCTTGGCTCTTTTGAGCTTGTCTGCCTGCAAAAATAAGGGTGGCAGAATGGAAAGAAGGGAGAACTTGTGGATTCATTTTACACTGAAGAAATGTTTGGCCATGTGAGAACCAGTAGGTCTGCTTTCTAATTAATATTCTAGAAAAATGTGCTTCTGGATTTTCCACTTATCTTATACAAGCAAACCCTTCTACTCTAATTACTGTTTCCATATGAAAAAATAATACTTCTGTAAATAAAGCGCCTATGTAAAGGGTTTTGCTAGCATCTTTAGATCCGGGTGCAAGGATCCTCATTTGCCCATTCCACACCTGAAGATCTAGATATGGAATAAAACCTCTTAGACTGGAACAGTAGGTTTCTGTCAACAAAAGTTGATCAGTTGTACTATAGTTAAAAGAAGGAAGAGGAATGTTAGTTCCTGTAAAACGATGATGGTGTCTGGCCTTTAAAATACTGCACTGTGGGAAAGAGATAGTAATGCTTGAGTCTAACTGTCATAATCTAAAGCTCCTGAATTTTTGGATAGAGTATATCAGAAATGTTAGCTCAATATATGCTGTTATTATCCAATCTCTGTGGCAAAGCAGTTTGTGTACAAGAGGAAGACAGTCATCCAGCTCTGCAATTTATGATTTTAGAAAGTTTTGCTGAAAAAGGCGGTTGTTGAATGTGTTTTCCATTCAGTTTTCTTTCTTTTCTTCCCCCCTGATTTTTCTTATGTTTAATGTTGGATAATTGGCAATGGAGAAAGCAGCTTTTCACCTCTTAGCCATGCTGTCTAAAAGGCCAGTGTCATATGCAAAGCAGCCTGGTGCCTGTTCACACCACCGTGGGCACGTGGGACCTTAATGAAAATTGGCATGGCAAGAAGTAGACAGTCCTTGTTGAAAGTCCAAGCAGATTTTAGGGTTTGTTACCTCACGGTCTGGAGGAATCTTACCCCAGTCCACAAGAAAACCCCTTAAATTGGTCTTAACAGTAAAAACGAAGAGCAGTGTTTTTCTTCCAGGCCTGTTTCTCTTCCAGGTTGTTTGCCAAGCTGAATTTGAAGCGCATTAGAGTAGCAGCATCCTGCATGCTCTCAGCCCCCACTGTGGACACAGAACTTGTCCTGGTTACCTGTGGCTGTCACCAGTCCATGCCATTAGTGCATACCACTTTGAACAATGTCTGTATAATTCAGATTTATCATTCAAAAGCAGGATTTTGCGATCCCAACTTTATTGCTAGAATGATTTCTTTTAAACTGTTGAGTGTGTTCTACGGGGTTGGTTTACTTGCTGTTGTTACTTCTAGATGGTGAACTTGCTCTTAGCCAAAGGGGCAAACATCAATGCTTTTGACAAAAAGGACAGAAGAGCTCTTCACTGGGCAGCGTACATGGGTAAGGCTTGGGCTGTTGCTTGTTCTTTTTCATTTCCTATTCACAAACCAACAGCGTGTTTTAAAACAGATAAGAGCAGACCTGGCCATGGAAAGTGAGGGTTATGTTTACCCTGAAGAGAGAAGGGTTCAGCTGATCTAAATACACACTGTCCATTTATGGTTTTGCAGCTGGTGAGAACTTGGCTGTGATCTCCTTTTTAACACAGTTAATTGTGGGATTTTTGTGGTTTTTTTTTTGTTTTTTGTTTTTTTTTTTTTAAATTTTGGTCTTTTTATACTGACTCTTATTCCAGCCTGAAGTATATTTGGGCTTGAAAAAATACAGGTTATATTTTTTTCAGTTCTTGCTAAGAACTACCTTATATAAAATGCAGATCAATACAATCATAAATTTTGCTGTTTATCTACGTTTATAAGTAGCTAAATTATGATATTGTTAGGAAGACCTTCACAGACTTTCTTCCTGTTAGGAGCAAACTGTTGTCATTTTTTCCAGAGTGGAGAAGAGGAACCAATTCATCTGTTCAAAACATAAGTGGTGCTACCCAATACTTCTTAATTAAATCAATTAACCTTATAATTCCTTTCAAGTTAAAGGAAAGTTTCTTACAGTGAGGCATTACAATTTAAAAATACTAGAACAACATTGCCTGTGATAGTGACCGCACTTGTTCAGGAGCTTTTGTGGGCCAAGCAGTATATTTCAGATTATAATCTGTGAGGTGTTGTGTGCTCTCAGCCAAGAACTCTTTCATCTGACCTGTCAAAATCTTGATTTTAATCCTGGCACTTTTGAAAATGAGATAATAGGAGATTTCAAACTGTGAGAAAAGCATATTGTGCATTTTTTTGATATACACAAACAGATGGAAAGACTCTTGCCAGCAAATGTGATTTGGCTTGTGAGCTAGCGAGCTTTGAACTCCACTCTGTAGAGGTGAAAGGCTTTTATGTTATGCTGTGCAATTCCACATCTCTTTTGCTCTTAATTCTTTTCAGAAATTGTGATGTACTTTTCAAAATATTTAGATAACTTTAAAGGCCTAAATTAGCAATGGGATATAGGAGTCTGTAGTGTAATTTGGACAGAGTTTATATAATGAGACCTATCGTGTAAGCCCTCACGTAGTTTTTTGAATGCTTAAATATATTTGGGCACTTTGGGCTTTGTCTACAATGTCTCCTAGGTCCTGTACATGATCAGAGCTGCCACTGTCATGCAAGTGGGATTTTATGGTGTTTGACATAATACATTTTTAATTCTAAGAAAGAAAGCTCAGCTTCAACATAAAACAATAAGGCCTGTTCCTTAGTTAGCCTTGATTTCATTTTGGTGGTTAGGACACTATCTGGGAGGGCAGCCCAGATGATTTGAGAACTTCAGAGGGAGGAGGAAACTGAACATACAGGTAGGTTATAAATTGCATTTTGAGATGCTCAGGTCTTCCCTTGTATTCTGTAGGGAGATCCTAATTCAGGGGTAGGCATTTCACTCCTGAAGACAGATGTCCCATTGATCTGGCAGTCAGCTCTCAATCTATGTCACTGTTGAGGCTATTGCAATTATTTTAGTTTTCAGACTAAGTATGTGTGTATAGACTGAGTTCAGATTCAAACATTATTAGAAAAATATTCAGGATTTTTTGCATGGTTTTGTGTTCATGATACAGTTTTGGAGGGTCAAAAACCTGATCCACAGATCAGTGGATTCAGTAGAAAATCTTGTGTTTGCATTGCTAAGCTTTGGATCAAATTCTGCGCTCACTTTAAATTTTACTTTCTGTGTCCTCAATGGTGCTAGAGAAGAGGATACCTTAATGCTATCAATTATTAAAAATATTTTGTATTGTTAACAAAAAAACAACAAGTGTTAGCAGTTGTGTTTGCAGATGACATCAATAGGATGCTGTTTTGGGAGACTTGTATTATCATGCTTCTGTGCTCACTGTTCTTTTTGTAACAGGGAGAATAAAACATAAACTGTTATTTTTAGAGAAATAAATGAGGAAGAGGTGTGTTTTTGTTCTCTTAATAAGTGGAAACCTAACTCAGCAAAGAGAAATTTGACGCATCTGATGAAGGTGAACACATGGATTTCTTGACACATCCTGGAGCTAGGATTAAGAACATTTAGGAAAATGCTTTTTGTTTCCCTTGTAAAACTGTGGGATCGTTGTGAAACAGGAGTGAAAGGGTCAGTGCATTAGCAGGAAGGCAGTAATTTGGGACAAGTGATGCTGTAGGATGGTATACTCATTGATTACTATCTTTCATCTTCTGAAGGTCACCTGGAAGTTGTTGCCTTACTGATTAATCATGGTGCAGAAGTGACTTGTAAAGATAAGAAGGGTTACACCCCACTTCATGCAGCTGCATCCAATGGGCAGATTAACATTGTGAAACACCTCCTTAACCTGGGGGTAGAGGTATGTGGTAATGTGCTCTTTGTGGCTTCCATGTTTCTCCATACTTGAAGATACTCTTTTCTTCGTTCTTATGGCTGCTGCTACAGACATTGGCAGAGCTTCTAAAGAAAACAGTTCCCGTTTTCTGGACCACCTTGTGCTTTATGTAGTTTATTGGTTCAATATCCAGGAAACATTCTGGAATAAAAAAATGTCTGATGTGTCAATTCCAGTCCACCTTGCTGAAGAAATCAGGAAATATATGGTGTTCCTGCAGAGGAAGAGGGAATAATGAAATTTCCCTTGGCTCAGCATTCCCTTTGATATGATGAACAGTTCTTCTCAACATATACACTGCATACTTTACTAAACAGCAGTTCAGGCTGTTTAAGTTTAGGGACCTGTATTTCCTCTGTAGCTGATGGACGGAAGGAGAGAGATTGTCTTCACTCTGGAAAAGAACTTTTGTTCATGGCACAGATTTCTCTTAATGTAATATTGTCAACTCACTGGTTCAAAGCACCAGTGAGATAGCCAGAAGAGCCTGCACTGATTAATCAGTGGTGTCAAATAAAGCCATTGCATTTGCCATTGCAATTTCAACTGACTTGACCTGCCAAAAAATTGTCAGACATCCATGTTCACAGGCTGTTGACTGAAGTTGAAGGGGAATAGGTGTTTCCTGTTACTGGCAGTACTATGCTAATAACTGCCCTTAACTTCTACATTCTCATGATCTTTGAGACACCTGTATTTCATGGAAGGTTATTCACATCATCCCCAAGTCTTTTGTACAACCTGTCTTGTCCTATTCTACAGAACAGCAGTTGAATACTAAGCCAGTCATCGAGAAGTAACGTAATCTTAATTTCATCTTTATAATACTGAGCTACTGAAAGTGGTTTCTTACTGAAGTGTAAATGGCTTTGCAGTTTCACCTTCCCTTCATTCAGACACCTTTGCTCCTTTTCCAAAAGAAAGAGCTCTTAAGCCTGATTCTGCTCACAAAAATCCAATAGTTGGTGATTTAATTCTTTTTTAAATAAAGATTGTGAGTTTTTTATTTATTGTACTTTCCTACTTATATGTAAAAGCTTTTCAGCTAGTTAGGACTTTTGTCATCATCATCATCACCATTACATAGTCCTGCTATCAGCTTTAAGCTTCATAATGATTTTAGAAATTGCCAGTAGGATAAAAAGTTAATAATCATAAAGCTAAAGCATTCCAAATGAAGGTTTCTGGAAGTATATTTTTGTCAATGAAATTTGCTGGTGAGAAATATGCCCTATGACAGTTCAAGCCTCCAGCTATTTCCATTTGCAGTATGTGATGCATTATGTAAAATGGTAAGCTGATGTCTGTAATTTTAACAATGTCTCCTTGTCTTATTTCAGATTGATGAAATGAACATCTATGGAAATACTGCACTTCACATTGCCTGTTACAATGGTCAGGATTCTGTTGTTAATGAGCTGATTGACTATGGTGCTAATGTAAATCAGCCTAATAATAATGGATTCACTCCCTTGCATTTTGCTGCTGCCTCCACTCATGGAGCACTGTGTCTTGAACTACTAGTGAATAATGGGGCAGATGTTAACATTCAGGTAAAATTTGCATGCAGCTCTTCAGTTTTACTTTATCATATTTTGCATACCTCAGGAGACTGGAAACTATAATAATGATTACAGTATGGCTTTAAATCTTTGATGGAAGTAGAGTGATGCTGAGAATGTTGATCGTTAAACTGTCTGGATGAGATTACTTCCCAGCAGAGGAGCTCTCAGTGCCTTGATAAATACGATGACAGCTTTAAACTCTAGGCCAGTCACTCTCCTGAAGTCATGAACCACTACTAAAATATAGTCCCAGGAGCTCTGTCAAAATGTTGTCTCAGGGAGTGGTGGTAAGTTTTCCTTCTCCCTACAATATGGATTTAATTAAACCTGAATCTAAAAAGTTCCTTTTGACTTTCCTGGGGAAGTAAGAACTGAAGGTTGTTTGTTTATCTATTTTAGAGCCGGAGTTTACAAAATCTGATTCTGTTTAGGATATCTGAGTGCTCTTGAGGTATAATTGATACATCTTGACGAAGCTGAAAGGAACTTGCTGTTATCCAACTGAGGGTACTGGTATAGGTACCAGAAGACTTGAGATCCCTGAGTTCACATAAGATTTTGACTGCTTTACTTTAAACACTGCATGTTTCAGTTTCCCATCTGTAAAACTGGTCTCCTAGCATTTAACACCTCTTGCAAGTCCCTTGAGATCAGTGAATATTCAGTGCACTGTTTAAACTCAGAATTATTAAAATTAAATTAGGGATTGTTCTTGCCAATGAATGTGAAGCCCCATGACAATAAACACCAAGTGATGTGAGTAGTGAAGCTGGTCCCTTCCATTGCTGTTTTCTCAGCTCCTCGGCTATCCCAATCTCAGTTTCTTTCTCTTGAACCTGAAACATTTATCTCTGCTCATTGTACTTTTCATTTCATATGCCTTCCCTGTTTTCTGATTGTCTTTTGTAGACATCCTATTTTTGACTGTGTGGAAATTTATTGACCAAAACTTTTTAATATAGTGGCTTTTATTCTGGGATGTATCTATAAAATGCAGATTGATAAATAGGAATCTCTCAGAGACTGCTCCTACTTAGCTTTATGGTTCCTTTGCTTTTCTTTATTCCCTTCGTTGCAAGGGTTAGGGAAAATAATGACCAAATGGGAAATGTTATTTAAAAGTAATACTCAAGAATAATATGTCATGTATCTGTAGGTTTCTAGCAGGTATTGTGTACAGCCGGGCTGTAAGGACAGGCTCCGTTCCAGCCCATTCCCTACTCATTGCTGAGGAACCATTTTGCTTGTATGCTTATACCTTTTTGTATTTATCATCATGTATGGATTCAGTCCTACTACAGTGAAGGTTTTATCTGAAGAATAGCTGTAGGATGGTGAGCTGAGAGACTTCAAATTGTTACCGCCACTTTACATGCGTAATGGTTGTTCTTATGTTTTGTTTCTGTTAGAGTAAGGATGGGAAGAGCCCGCTGCACATGACAGCTGTCCATGGGAGGTTCACACGGTCGCAGACCCTCATTCAGAATGGTGAGTTTCTGTGCCTGTTTAATGACTCTTCAAAATACTAGGCATTTCCAAGGTTGCAATTTTTGGTTGTTCTGACCCAAAGAGCCAAAGGACTGTTCTGAGAGGTGCTTAGCTCTCCATCAACTTCTGGCTTTGAGCTGCACTGACAGCTCTCATTCCAGCCTCTCATCACAAGTTGTGATTTTGGTTGTTAACAAAATCCCAGGTTCCTCCAGCTGACGGTGGTCCAGCTGATCTGTTGTGACTCTTAACCTGAAAACAAGAATTCAAATCTGTACTTAGGTCTTTTGGCAAAACTTTCTTTCTCAGATTATTTAAAAACTAAAAAAAGACAGAGTTTCTAGATGTCCTCCCTTGGGAGCCCTGGTGGTGTTAGAACTCAGACCATTTTCTCTACCCTCCATTCAAAAGCTGTACTTCTCTCACCACCCTTAGCTCCACTCCTTGCCACTGTCTTCATTAAGTGTTGAATAAATACTCAGGGGGGTAGACCTGTGCCACCCTGTTTGTTCTGGAAGCCAGGGTTCCTAATTATCAGTTATTTATCAGGTAACTCCTTTGTCCAAAAATACTGTGGAGTGTAACAAGTATTATTGTCGGAGATCTGGCAGAGGCCTGTTTCCAATTGACAGAGGTTGCTATTACTGATTGTTTACTTATGCTTCCCAGCTCTGACCACTATGCCAGACAGGATGGTCTGGGGTTTGGTGGTTGTTTTTTTTGTTTGCTTTCCAAAATCCCAAACTTGGAACTTAAGTGTGAGATGTTGAAGATGGCTGAACAGTTACACTGTGAAGGTAATGACACTTATATTTACACAAGATTATATTTTAAAATGGAGGTCTTCAGTACATCATACTTCTTTCAGGTCATCATGCAAATTGTTGTCATATCTCTCCTTGGATAAATAAAGTAATAATAATAAAAGGAGTCTGAGAAAGCTGGAAGAAACTGTGCTTTAATACAATTTTTAGTTGCTTATTCAAATATGCTCTCTGACTTACAGCTGTTGTTGTTTGGATTTGTGTGTGAAAGGACTGGCAGTTCTTCATCTGTCTTTCACGCCTCAACTTTTCTTTGAGTTACTCAGGTTTTGCTTCTTTCTTTGTTTGCTGCCCCTCTAATTTTAGTGTTATATACAGATCTGGTTGCAAGTGACTTTATGCCTCATTGCCATGGGATATTGTGGAACAGAGAAGTATCAGTGCTTTAAAGAAATGGAGTTTCATTCTGCTGTACTTAATGAGTTGGCTAAAGATGTCTCAATTTCTGGCTGCTGTCTCTAGCGACTTGTAGAGGAAGAACGGATTACCTTAAGCTTGTAAAATTGCAAATGTGATACTTATCTTTAAAAATGGAGGAATAGAAAAGCTGGAGAATTTTACATAGGTCAGCCAAAAATTCTGAAATGAACAAAGGAACAAATTTTTTGTAAACACTTAAGCAGGAGTGGGCAATATTTGGTACAGATTTCTCAAGAGTAAAAGATGCTGAAACAACATAATTTTCTTCTACAGTAGGGTAGTACGCTTTGTGAACACAGCATGGTCCTCTGAATTTTATGTTGGCAGGTAATGTTCATAGACACCTCCACTGGTGGAGGCTCCACCCCAGGGAACCTGTTTCAGCATTTCACCGACCTTTATTTACCATTAGAAAACATTATATAGTACTTTACTAGGCTATGTCATGTTATCGCCTGTGAATAGTGGACATGCAGTAAATATTACATGCTTTCATAAAGTATTCTCACAGCAAACTTGCAGAGTATTAAAATATTACAGTGTTGGTGCAGAACTAGTTGAAGAACTACACTCAGAGATCAGTAATAAAGGGATCGTTGTTGAAATGGAAGGTGTAGTGAGGGGGTTTTCAGTTTTCCTCCTGGGTCTGGAACTATCCGGTATTTTCATTAACAACTTGGAGAGTGGAATAGAAAATGTGCTTTTAACATTTGGAGAAAACATGAAGTTGGGAGAGACTGTTAGTTTGGCGGAAGGTGGAGTTGGAATGGAAAAAGATCCTGTAAAATTGGAGACAGAAGTTATAATGCAGGTGAAGCAAAGGAAAGATCCCACACACAGGCAGGAGTATCAGTTCAACCAGTTCAGAATGGCAACAGCTTGGTGAGTGGCAGGTTGTCAAGAAGGGATCTGGGGTTATGTAGGGGATCAGAAGCTTGTTGACCACAAGTCAACAGTGTCATGGTGCTTAAAAAAAAAAGATCAACAATTTACATGGTGCTGTACAATGTACCAGAATGTATAGATAGGAGTGTAGCCAGCAGGCATGAAGTAATCCTTTTGCTCAGCTCAGCCTTGGGAGATGTCAGCTGTAGTATTGTTTCTAGCTTTTGATGTTTTACTTCCAGAAGGATGTGGGCCAGCCGGAGAGGACTGGGGGAAGGACGACAGTAGTTGGAGTGCAACAAAACTGACTTGCAAGGAGAGGCTGAAAAAATTACAGTTCCTTGGTTCAAAAAGAAAACAAGGTCTTGATAGCAATCTGCATGGATCAAAAGCTGCAGCATAGAAGAAAGAAATAATCTTTTTGTTTTCCTGCTTGTGAGGATAAAACACAAGATGACAGGCTTAAATTGCAACAGGAGTCGTTCTACTTAAGCGCTGTTTGGTTGCTCTGTGGTAAGACACAGAGAAGGCACACAACACGCTTGTTGTTTGCAGTGTGTTCTGGCTGGCCTCTTGAATGAACTCTAACACTGTTGTCTTACAGATAAGGTTGAGTGGCAATGCCTTGATGAATGAGGGCATAGTTTCAGCAGTTTATTTGGTTAGTTTAATTCAAGGCATCCACTTGTACCTTTAGATGAGCAGCAGCTCTGAATTGTGTATTTGACCATTGTATGTCATCCTGTTTACCTGTTTTCCACCATTTTCCCCTACTATTGCAGTTGGAGAGGGAGGTGAAAATGCTTCTACCAGGCCACATTCAGTACCAGTGCCTGACAGCTTGCTGTGTGCTGGTTCTTGGTCTCTAAAATGTAGCACCTCTGTGGCTAGACTGGTTATGCTGCATTTGCTAGAGAGAAATAACGCTTGCGGTCATTGGTTCATGCTTAATCTTTCAGTGTTAAACTGTATGAAAATATCTTTTGCAGGAGGGGAAATCGACTGTGTTGATAAGGATGGTAACACCCCTCTGCATGTGGCTGCAAGATACGGACATGAGCTTTTGATTAACACCCTCATAACCAGTGGAGCTGATACTGCCAAGTAGGTGGCTGAAGTGGAGCTGTTTCTAATGATCAAGTGTTATGTCTGATACCTGGAACACAGTTACTGCTCAGATTCTCAAGTGTGAAGGTTAAAATGGATAAGCATAATTGTACTGTACTTCAGTGGGTGACGTGGAGCTAAAATATGAACACTTGGGAAGTGTGGAGGGGAAGGAAGCCCTACTAAGATCCTACTGTGCCCAGTTACATGGTTACAAGCAGTACAAGTGGTATATAATGTACATGAAGTACATAGGTATATAAAATGCATCTTGATCACAGTTACTCTAGAAAGTCTGTAGCAACGTGTTTGTATAGGAAAAGTAATGGAAAAAAATTCAGATGCCTTCCAAATGAATTGTGTGCATATTCATTAGTATCTGAATTAGCCTAATGTTTAGTGGCCTGTCATACATGGTGATTATTCTTTTGTCTTGTATCTTTTGGTATGACATAGGATAATCAACAGAAATGCAGTATTGCAAAGCAGATGTTATTACGTAGTTCTGTTAACTAGATCCTGTCTTCATGTTGCATGATTTCTGATATTCAGGTGGCTGAAATAATAGGACTGAAATATCTAATTTGTGAGTTTGGGAGTATTTTTGAATAGAGAGACAAGCAGTTAAAATTAGACACATTTCTAAATATTGTTAGTGCTTTCTGCTTCAACTCAATTTGTTGTTTGTTTGTTTTTTCTTGCATGTGTGTCAAGATTACACCCCCAATATGATAAGTATTGTCAACTCAAACATTGGCAGGTGCTTGATTTTTAGGAGTATTTGAGTATTGGTTACTTATGTTCAGGTTCTTATGGTCTGTCAAAAGAAAAGAGCAAACCTGAAGGCATACAAAGACCAGAGAAATGCCATGCCATGAGGGATATCTGTACCAGGTGTTTAATAGCAGCATCTGATTTCATGAATGTGAGTTTTCAGCCATTACCTCCACATGTCTCCAAAATATAATTTAAGAATCTTCTACCTAGAACCTATCATAGAAATCTGTGACTTCTCTTGAGTTACCTAGTTGGGAAAACTGGCAAATGATCTGGTTTTAATTTTGAAGATACTTGCAGCTCTTAGTATTTTGTTTGTTTGCTTGATGATGTTTAAGAAAGTGGCACATTTGCTCATATTCCTTTCTCAAATATGACTGTCACCGTGCCAACTTGGAAGGTGGAACAGATCTTCAATTGGCATGGATAATGAAATTCCACAGGCTTCAGCTAACATAAAATCATTGGATTTTATTAACATAGCCAGCATGAGGATCTTGTTGTCTAAATAGACATGTATTTTTCCTAGCTCTTTTTCCAGTACAGTCTCAGTCTGTCTCTTATCTTGGGGTTTAAAGGGAAAATGAGATGCAGTGGGATAGCCCATCCAGTTAGAAATTTCTATTTCACACTTGGGTGACTGGAACATTGATCAAATAAAATACTTTTTCCAGCAACAGAAATAAGTGAAATAAGAAGTTGGCTTAGAGATACCAGGCAGATCCAAATGATGCTACTGTCAGTGCTAAACAAGGAGCATTGAAATACTGAGAATGGGCCTTCGTATGTGCTGCATGTAAATAACTCTGGCTGAGCTCCCTGAACTGGCTTTGAAAAGAAAATTCTGCAGTGTTGTTAGCAACAACTGCAGGCAGCTTGGTCAGTCTTTGGGGCAACTGCACTTAAAGGGGAAAGTGTGTGAGTGGTAAAAGGAACCAGTGTGAACAGTGCTTTAGAAGTGTGACATTGGTTAGCAGATGTGCAGATAGTGTGTTTCGATGGAAACCAGCCAAAACATGTGCTGGGTGGAGGAGGAGATAGAGGGAAATGGACGTAGGAAGAAGCACAGCAGTACAGAATGTCCAATGTTAGCTTAAATAAATGAATCCACAGCTAAAAAAGGCAACCTGTTTATACAGACGCAGCAGCTTGGTGGAGCTTGTGCTGTTTCCTTCAAAGAATAGGATGTCAGATTGTCTTTTAACTGATTTATTCTCAGACGTAGATGCTGACGCTAGCAAAATTAAAATTTGTACAGCACCACAAGTCACTCCTTAGTGTAGTGAAGCATCAAGAAGGACACATTTAATGTGAAGACAGAGGAAGGATGGGCCTGTGGATTCTGGAAAGAGTAAGATTAGTTTTAAAAAACCCCCGAAAGTTAAATACATATATGTATAAAATGTTGGAGAGAGCAAGATATCTTTATAAATATCCACATTACTTGTGAAGCTTTAGACAAAAAATAATTGATTTATGGAGAGTCTTGCAGAAAGACAAATTGTGTCATCTTTGTGTCTGTATCTGAAATCTTCTTCCATGAGGTGATCATACACTCCCATCCACCAATTGTCTTGCAGAAATGAAGGGCAGACATGAATCCATCTGCTATTGTTCAAGAGTTTGTAATTTTTCAAAAATATATCTGCTGAAGCAGGCAGTAGATGATAATCTTGTCAAGATAGTTGGTTTCAGAAACTCCATGTTTATGTGCACTTGGAGGACTGCCGATAGGATAATATTTCTAGAATAACAAGATGCTTTTCACAAAACAGTGCCAAATGACAGAAGCCAAGATGTCCAAACCCAAAAGTCCTGTAGGACAGTAAGTAGTGGCATCCTTAAGTACTGAACTGGGCTGATTTGCTGATATTAATAAAAGCTGCTGGGTGCTCAACTTGTTTAAAAACTATGTGGTTGCCTGATGCAGATTCAGCATAATGATAGGTGCCTACCTTTTCACCCAGCATGTCTGCTCTGGGAAGTTTATAGTGTAAGTGAAAAGAGTGTCATGTGTTAAAGGGGGGAAAAAGTGAAAGGGAGTGTGAGGAGAGTAGCTGGAGCAAATAGGAAAATTGGATGTTTAGTTCTTAGGATATGAGAAGAAAACTCTAAGTGTCATGGCAGCCTAAAGGAGAGTGTGAAGAAGAGTCATCAGCTACCCCAGCCCCAGGGGAGAGAGAGAGAGAGAGAAAGGGAAGAAGGGGAGGCTTTGAAAACACACATGAGAATTATCTAAAGGATGTTAACTGCTGGAAAAATGAGTTTTGGAAATAATATTGGCATTTACTTTCGTCTCAGAATGGCAGTTGCAGTATGTGTGGCTGATGCAGAAATTTGTGCATCCCACACCAGGAAATTGAGTCCAAGCAATATCTGCTCTCTCGCTTCCTCCCTTACCTCGGCTTTCGCCTTGAATTTTTAGAAACCTTCCTGCCACATTCTGTTCAAAGCGTAATGCCAAGATTTTGCTGTATCGGAATACTTTTAACTTCCAAGAAGGCTGGTAAGGAAATACAGATAAAAATAACATGGCAGGAAGAATCTTCCTCAAAAAGGATAAAAAATGTTGCCTATGTGGAAGGAGCTTTTGATGTGTTGTGTCTGTATGCAACCTGCATTTTCACGTGACTCTGTGTAATGAGGCTGTTGTGCCTTTCAGGTGTGGGATCCACAACATGTTCCCTTTACACTTAGCAGCGCTGAATGCTCACTCGGACTGCTGCAGGAAATTGTTGTCATCAGGTGAGTAAATCCTGCAGTGTCCGTGGAGCTCAAGTAGTGTCTGTCTCTTGCTGCTTACGGCCCCTTTATACTCACTGTTGTGAATTGTTCAAATGAAAGACTTCCTGTGCTGCTGTTTGGCTGTGGGGTGTAGTTTGGGTGCGAGGCTTTCCTAACCGAATGCTGGTACTTCCTCACGTCCTGTATTGTTCATGCCCGAAGCTCTTTCCTCCTGGCAGGTTCAGAGCGTTTATGTTAATTCACCAGGAAGAGGGAGGAAGTTTAGGACCCTTGTCCAAACTGTAGGAATGTGAGATACTGCTTTGTTTTGTTTTTGGTTTTGGTTTTTTTCCCCCCAAAGGAGTAATTCAGGAAATTATCTCCTTGGAGCCTTCACTGGCTGAGGTATTTATGTCTCATTGATGATGATGTATTTTAGATACAGCTAAAGAGTGTTTCTGAATCCAGACAGAGTAAAGGAGTTAGGCTGGCCAGAGCTCTGTGGGCACAAAGGGGAAAATGAGTGAAAGTGTAGTGTCAAGAGAACAGTCTCAGGACCCTCACCAGAGCCCTAAGCAGAAGAAGCAGGGGTTTGCTGACACAACCATTTCAAAAGATGCAATGATCAGGTGCCAAATCCCAAATTCTATTTTTCCAGGCAAGAGTTCCCATGAGTTAAAAAATCACAATGTAGATCATATGCTTTTTCTAGAAAATTGCTTCATTATTTAACACACAAAATCTCCTACAACTACTTTTTCCCCTAAACTTGAGCTCTATAGGATATTTTAAAAGTGTGAAAAATGGCAATTACATACCCCATTACATTAAACCCTGGCGTGCTCTGGCCTTGACCACTAGATCAGGAAGGAAGAGAAAAGCTCTGGGTGACCGGCGTTAATACTGCTAGGCTTGTATCTTTGGCCTTGTGCATCCTGATGAATATCCCTGCGTGATCCTGGAAGCCTCTTTCCAACCTGAAAACCACATGCAATAAAAATGGCCCCGCTTCACGCTCAGGCTGACTCTGTGGTTTTTCCTCATTTCTTCATGTTTTCTGTCTTCATGTCCTGTTGTTGCAGTCCTCTTGATAAGTATCTGCCTTATAAATGCCTGTCACATGGTTTTAAATAGGGATGGGGCACAGAGCTGGATGCGGAAATAGATGCTCGTCGACTTTGCAGCTCTGTTTATAGAGCTGCCAAACTGGAGCAGCCGCTCGCCGTTCCCGTGACAACCTCTTTCTGACTGTAGTTGCTTGCGTTCTGTTTTTTTCCAACTAACTGATTTTTCTGTCTCTGCAATGTTTCTTGTGGTTTAACTAGGACAAAAGTATAGCATAGTGTCCTTGTTTAGTAATGAGCACGTGCTGTCTGCAGGCTTTGAAATAGACACCCCTGATAGTTTTGGAAGAACCTGCCTCCACGCTGCCGCTGCAGGAGGGTGAGTAGCTGCCACTCTAGCTGTTGTAAGTTATTTTGTGGCTTCTTTGCAGATCTGGTGCCAGCCAACTTGACTGTGTCATCCACAGAGGAATTTATTGCGGTGCAAGGGAAGCGAAGTGCTTTGATGTCAAATTTGGGTCACTTGAGGCTGTCTTTTGCCACTGCCCTCATGTAGGGGTTGCTTGCAAAGTAAAGGAGGTGATCTGATTCCCTTTACCACAGAGAGCTGGGTTGTGATTTGAAGCATGGGTTTCAGGCGTAGGGCAAAACTCTTTTCTTTCCATGGCCCTGTGAAAAATGATTCAGCTTTGGGAGGGGGTACTGCCTACTCACCCAGGTCTGTCTGTTGGTCACGACGATGGCTAAGGGCCAGCAGTCAGCAGGAAATCACCGGTTCCTAGGGCAAAGTGAGTGAGGAGGAGGAGCTGTAGCTCCTGGGATGCTGCTGGCAGCGGAGTTACTGCTTTGGACTGTGTCCTTGACCAAAAATTCAACTGCATAACAGTGCCCATTGGATTGCCACTCTGGAGTCCAAATGCAGCTCAGCTCCCTCTTTCCCATTTTTCAGGTGCAAGTTGAAAAGTTTCTAAAGGAAGAACCAATCAACCAAGGCAAAACCAAAAAAACAACCCCAAAAGAAAGAAACAACCCCCAACCTCCAAATTAGAAAGTCAAAGGAGTGTCATTCTCTCAGAGTGATGAATTCCTGATAAGTGCAGGGAGGCCAGAAATGGAAACAAATGAAAACTAAAATACGTCAATTTAGGTTGTAAATGTAGCATCCAGTTAGCTTAAATATTTCCAAATAATTGTCAGTGGAGTGCTGTGAAGTTAACCTAGCAAAAGGACAAAACATTTGGCAAGGACTGAGTTTTGACTCCTCTGTTGAGTACTTTATGGCTCAGAAAACAGCTGAAATGGAGCCTTGGCTAGAACCCAGCTTGGATTCTCTCTGGTTACAGCAAGCAGAAATGGTCATCCACATCAAATACTTGGCAGTCCTTCTGGAAGTTGCTTTTTTGTCTTGGTGGACCAAAATGTATATCGCAAAGTTTTTGTTTTTACAAAAGAACTAGTAAAATTGATCCAAATAATGGTTTTATTATTCTTACCATATTAGTCTTCTTGGTACTTGTCTCACATTAATGGTGGAGATATGACTGTTGCTTGGGTAGAGATTATTATAGTATAGTTCAGATGCTACCTCTTCGATAAGGCTGCACCCCAAAAGAATAATAAAAACAACCTGGAAGTCCTAAAGAGTAGGAGAGGCTTCATAAGAAGCAAAAGTGGCTCATGAAAATAAACCATATTTTTCCAGTGGTTTACTACAGTTGTCATCACTAACAAGTGTTTTTATTTTTAGTACGTTGTGGTGAGTGTTCTGTAGCTATTTTATGCAATAGCAATTTAGAGTAAGGCCAACATATTGCATCCGGTCTTTTTTTTTTTTTCCCTGGAGCTCGAGCTATACAAAAGGCATTAGGTTTTTTCCTGACACGTGCCTGTTACTCCCATTACATCAGTGGAAGTTGCATGGGTGCTGGGAAAAGAACATACATCAAAGGCATGCTTATCTGATTGTGAACACAAATGATTTATTGCCCCCATGAATGACAAGAAGTCTTGGAAAGTGCTGTGCTTTATGTGATTTTCTGGCTTGGAGCTGTATGTTTTTTCGCTTGAATTACAAAACATGAGAATTCAGCTGTTTTATTTTCTATTAAAAATCACCTTTAAACAAGATGAAGAAGCAGCTATGATGTGGTGAATTTTTTCAACAGATACAAAGCAATGGAGTCCAACTAATCCACTTACATAAATGCAATACTGAGATGACAGTCACTTGAAATAGCTATCCCCCTTATTCAACAAAGCACTTAGAGCTGTGCTGAAATCTATCAATAGTCAAAAAATCGTTTAAGAATAAACCTTAAAAGTAATTCTTGTGATTAAATCTCACTAAGTAAACAGGATTTGAGCAAAGTGCTTACTGTTGAATTCCTTGCTGAACAGGGGTGGATTTCATTAAATGCCATCTCCTCTTCATTATTAGATTGGCATTTTATAAGCTAGCAACAACTTTCTTTTGAAGTTCTCTTATAAAATACCAGTTCAGTGGGGGAAGCATTAGAGTACAGCTCATATTGAAAATCTCCAGACACACTGAATTCAGATCACATTTACTATGCTCTCTTTGGAAAATTAATTTTTTTTTTTTCTTCTGCAGAAATTTGATATTTTCTAGAAAGAAAGAAAATAGTTTTTTAAAACTTCATTTTTTGTTTAATTGAATTTCACATTGTATTTGACTGTACTTTGTTTTTGCATGGCAAATAAAAAATAGAGTAACTTTTTCCTTTTGGGGGCAGGGGGCAACACGGATATAAACTTCTGTTTTATTTATGTTTTGTTTTCCTTACTTTTCTTTCCAGCAACGTTGAATGTATAAAACTCTTGCAAAGCAGTGGAGCAGATTTTAATAAGAAGGACAAATGTGGGAGGTAGGTGAATTATGATGCTCATTTAAAAAAGAAAAAAAAGAATCTAGCAGCCAAGGAAGAAAGACCACCTCAGTCTGGAAATCATATGTTCTATGAAAAATGACAGTAAAATAAAGTAGGAGTTTGGCCTTCCCTGCAGAACTCTTGCTGCTGCGGTTATATGCCAGACAGACAGGTGTAGACTTCATTAAATACATAAAAAAAAAAAAAAGCTATCCCACCCTCCTGAGTTTTCCGTTTTAAAAATATTACAGTTTTGGTTTTTTTTTTCCTTATTGTTTCTCTTATTGCCTAAATTCTTGTGCTTGTGTGCCCAAAACAACACCTGGATTATGATGGGAGAATTGCTGCTATTTGATGTGCTTCCTAGAGGTTTTTTTCCCCCCATATGAAGTGTTGCTATGAGTGTGTTGCTATGCCAGCTAAATAAGATGCTGTGAGAGACACTGCTTTGCTCTGCCTCCCAACTGGAAGAAAGTAGCAAGTGTGTGGAGCAACAGCAGAGGCTGTCACTGGCAATAGGTCATTTGCAAGACACAGATTGATGATCTGTAACCTATTAGGCTTTGTAGGAGCACCAAAACTTCCTGTTAACACAGTATTTTGTTAAATTTCCATAACTTTGCTTTTCATCACAGGAACATCAGGTGCTAGTATTGACTGTTAGAAATCTGTAGGAAAGCAGCAATTAAGATTTATTATTATCCTTGGCGGTGCATATTGGAATATGAGGTAACAAACTGTCACTTATGTTCCAGGACACCTTTGCATTATGCAGCTGCAAATTGTCATTTCCACTGTATTGAGACACTGGTGACAACAGGAGCCAATATTAATGAAACGGATGACTGGGGACGCACCCCTTTGCACTATGCTGCTGCTTCAGACATGGACAGAAAGTAAGAAAGGCTCTTTGTATTCCTTTTTTAAAGTGTTTTGCTAAATCAGTGCCATTCTATTCTCTTCATGGTGCTATGTCATTTGAGACAAAAAAATGATCCCACTAGCAAAGGAATTTCTCTCAGATGCACGCGTAACTCCACACTGAGTTACTCTGACTATAAGCCAGATCCCCAGATGATGTGGCATTTCAGCTCTGCGGTTTACCTTTGAGGTAACACACAGTATTGCAGCCAGCCTGTCCTACTGAACTATTTTCACAACATTTTGTCTTCTGTTTTCCTCTGTGTGGTTTCCTCACAAGAGTAAGCTCAGAGAATTTTCTACATCTGCTTTGCAAGTCCATCGGAAGGGATGGAGCAAGAGGCAGCAGGAGAGGTGGTTCCTAGATGGGCTGCAGTGACAGATGGACATCTGGCCATTCTGACAGACTGTGGAAAAGATGGGATAGATCTACCCAGCAGTCTCACTCCACTGTCAGAGCTGATAAAAACGCTCACCCTGTCCAAACAGGTTGCTTTTTAGAGACTTCAAAAAGAGAGAGGCCTGGGGAATATCCTTTGGCAGAATGCAATGCTGTTCTTGTGAGAAAGGGGGAAAACAGCTGCAAAACTTAGAAATCCTGTGGTTAGTGACTGTAATTTCTAATTCCCAGATAGCTGCATATTTTGGCAATCTCTTCCTTATAGCATACTGTATAAAACAGACTCAGAACTGTTAGTTCTCTCTTAAAACTGTGAGCAACCTGTATTTATTTTAGGTCATCCTATGTTTCTCTGTCTTATTCCTCTGGACACTAAGGAACTATTTTTTTAGTTTCTTGTATAACGAAGTCTGGTAAAGATCTGTCTGGCCCACTGCCAGCAGAATACCACCTCAAAGCCACTGCAGGAACACTTCACTTTAACTTATGGTAGAGGTTCAGATGCCATACCAGAGCCATGGTATCTTCTTCAGCCTTTACTGTGATAATACTGATACAACAAAATGTCTTCCCTATCTCCCTCAAACCTGAACGGTGCTAGGAAGAAGGCAGCAGGCTCTTCAAAGGTTTGTGCTTGTCATTACAGAGTAGGCTTGTAGGAAGGCTTTCACCACTGGCTGTTTCTAATTCTGTCTTGACAGGGTGAGGTGATACTCAGGGTGTCAAGAATGGTGATTCATTGTGTTTTTTTTCAACTTTTGGCTCTTCGTAGGTGACCTGCATTTACACAAGCTCTTGGTTAACTTCAGGATGTATCTACTTCCGTCACTAATTTTTAAAAAAAAAAAAAAAACAAGCTTACTTCAGTCACATCCTGAACATTGACAAGAATATGTGGCCTTTATTTGCCCTCACAGTCCAAACATAAATTGATTCTCATGTGGTGATGCTGTCTTCTCATTACATTTTACAGTTTGAGATGTTCTGGAAGAAGCCTTGTTTTATAGATGAAATGCTGTTTGCAGTCTGTGATTTTATAGGTCAACATATTTTTTTCCTGCTGAATGGCAAAAAACTCCCAAGGTCAGGCAATCTCAATCCAAAGAATATTCATAATTATTTACTTTTGGATGTGGGCAGTTAATGAGCAGGGAGAAGTCTTGGTGCAGTGAGGTTGCCCTACTGTTTTAACTATTTGGGTAACTGTTGTTGCTTATGGTCCCTTTCCTGCAATGGAAATCACAACATTTTCATTAAATAGATGATGGCAGTTTCTGAGTATGTACTGTTCTACAGATCATCACTTATTCTCTTCAGGGAATCTTATTTTGGGATCTCACTGATTTGTAGTTAACTGAGAGCAGATGCAGGTAGGACTTCAGCATTGCACATGAGTACTGTTGATGAGCTTACAATGTTAATATTCAGGGGAGTTATTTTATTAATAATTAAGTTTTCTCTGAGTCAGTGGACATCAGACAGACCCTGGGCTTGTAGGACAACCCCTTATTGCTAGCACCCACAGGAAGAATGTCAGATCTTGATATTACAAATGGGAAATTGCATACTAAAGAAAGAATGTACTGTTCTGCACTGTGCAGAATCCAGTCTGGAATTTGCATGTTATATTGGGATTGAAATTAGCAACTGTCCTTCTACAAACCTTTCAAGCTACTAATCCATGATGATGGCAGTTAGTAAATGTATTCTGTGTTACCCTTGGTGGCCAGGAAAGGAAAGATCATAATCACAAGGTCATGATTGTAAGATCACAAATCATAGTCCTCTGTCTGCCGACTATCCAGCTGGGAAGGCAGAGTTGCCAAAAATGATCTGGGTGTTCAGGAATATGAAGACATGTTGAGTTATTTGATGGATCTAGAGAACCTGATCAGGAGATCCACATAGTGTTGCCGAGATATTTCACCCAGCTAATGCAGATTCAACATAGATCAATTTAGTATCAGTGATTAAAGTTTCACTAAATCCCAAACACTAGAGAAGAACTAGCAGGTTGCTGTTGAAAGAAGCAAGCTGTGGCAATCCTGAGTTCTTCTCTGCGGAGAAAAAGAAATGCACAGCATTGCTGTGAGAGAAACAGAAGGATTCTAGAAAGTGATGATCAAACTGTTTCTGACAGAAACCAGAATTTTCTGTGTTTTTTTTTTTTCTAGCTTTGACTTGCAGGATGATAAACTACCATGTTGTAGTTGTCTCCATAGCTTGCAAAACTTATTGGCTGCAGACCCATGCAGTACACACTTTTAACTTGTATAATTCTTATTGTTGGCTGGAGGAGGTCAATTCCTCGAAGAGGAGATTGGGGATGGGTGGCAGACTGCGTCAAAATCACTGGTATATTTTGAAAATAAGTTGCATTTTTCTGTCCTCTGTGCTAAGAAGAAAGAATATTTTAGGTAACTCCCATGAAAATGCTGAAGAACTTGAAAGAGCCAGTGAGATGAAGGAAAAAGAAGCTGCATTGTAAGTTTGGTGTCAGTAAAGCAGTTAGACTCCATTTCTGGAGAATGGCACTGCTTTGGGCTGCAGTCTACACTCTGCTTTTTCTCATTCATTGCTCTGCTAAACACAATGCTTGGCTTTAATGAAGGCTAACATAAGGAAAAAAGCTCTGTGTCTTCTCTGTGCGTATTTTCCCTATTATTCCTGTTTCCATGCTTATTGCTGTTTCTTCATTGAAAATGTACTGCTTCAGTAATTTAAGAATTCTGTAGTATCATACACTGTCTTATTTTAATGCTTTGCACTGAGCATGTATGTTGCAAAAAGTAGCCACCAGTGGCTTCCTCTATTTATTTACTTGGATTGACATTTTCATCTAGCTGCTTAATGATTTTATTTTAAAAATCCCCTTTTTCATATGACAGCCTTACATTTGCTACAAATTACAAGCTATGGAGGAAAGTACTAATAACAAAATGATGATTTCTTGATGGTATAAGAAAAAGTGACAGACACTGTAAAGAGCATAAGGGCTCCTCTGAAAAACACATGATTTAAAAAAAAAAAAAACAACAGCCAGCAAAGAAGAAAATATATTTATGTACATACATGACAGAAAATTAACTCAGTTAAGTATTTTTCAGCTTGCCACACTGCATGTTTGGAGGCCAGTGGTTTGATCTAAGAGTTTTTATGTACAGTAGTAATAATTCTAGATTGTTTACATCACAGTACAGAGTTGTGTAGTCTTTTTTAAGGCTTCATAAGAGAAAGTGATGTTATGATCTAGAGTAGCAAAGATTGGGTTGAAGATCGTGGTTTATGAAGATCATCTTCAAAAATGAGTAGGGATTTTCTGTTTAAAAAATGGTGAATGTGAGGAGCTCTTGGTGAAAAGAGGGAAACTCATAAGTGATTCGAGGTGCCGCTAGAAATACAAAATTAACTGCCAGTTTTCAGCACCGCTCCTAGTTGAGGTGAGAGATGTCTGTTAAATATTGTAAGCTCTCATTTAAATGAGTGAATTGTCCACAGGTGTCTAGAGTTCCTTCTACAAAATGATGCCAATCCGTCCATTCAAGACAAAGAGGGGTACAACACTGTGCATTACGCTGCCGCGTATGGGCACCGGCAGTGTTTGGAACTGGTGAGTGCTCAGACAGTTTGGAGGTCACTTTGCTGATATGTGTACGTGCATATGCAAGTATTATGAACTCCCCTGACAATTGCTGTTTGTATTCTTTGGATAATCACAAATCTGTGAAAACCTCCCATACAGTACAGTTAACTCAAATATGCACAACCAGTTGTATTTTAACAACTTGTTAATCTTGATAATCCAGTCCTTCTTCAACAAGATGGTGCTTAAATGTCGTCTTTGAGTGGAGTTTATGTGTGCTCAAATTATTTTTAACTGTGATCAAAATATTCTGTGTGTGTGTGTGTGTGCCAGTAGTAAGGGATAGTTCCCAGTGCATGATGGTGTATGTGCCTTCTGCAGCTGGCACATTATCTGACTTGCAAACTGAGAGAGTAAATAGCTTTTGTCAGCTGTGTACCTGCAGTGCCTGTCTTCCTGTGATGAAACAATAGCAGCACTGATAAAGTTACCATAATCAAAATTAACTTTGTATGCAGTGTAACTGGGGTTTTTGTTGTTGTTTCTTAATATCCTGCACTTGAATGATTAGAAATTGCATCTCATAAGAAGCCAAAAATTGGATTTGGGAGATGTATAGTATGGATTTATACAAGTTTGTGTCTTGTAAAAATAAGTGTCATGAAGATGGAGGTTAACTGATCTGCTTGATATACAGGGTGATCCAACATTATTGTGTCACATACAAGTGGGCTCCGATTGATTTAGAAAAAAAGCTATAATAAGAAAATTGTATAGATATTCAGGCTTTAGTAAGAACATTGTGTGCTGTTTAGTGTTCTATGTTGTTTGGTTCTTTCTTTCTTTGTTGAAGAGTCAGAGTACTTAATTATTGAAAAGGAGCTCTGCACAGCATATTCTGCTTTCACACCACATTTACCAGTGCTGTCAGTTATTACCGCCACAGGAGAAATATTGCAGCTGACCTATATCAGGGTCACAATAGCTAGGAAACAGTGACCTGTAATTACAACAGGGCAGCCCTGGGTCAGAATTTCAGGTGGGATGTTAAGCCTTTTTAGCTCCCACCTGCAAGCATGTATGTCTAGGACACTTAAAATATTACTGCTCCTTTCTTGCTTGTGACAGCGAGTTTGGCCTTTCTTTGCTTAGAGCCTTTTCCTAGAGCTGATCTCTTGTGACTCTGCCTGTGGGGATGAAGGGGTCTTCTGCTGAGCCTGCCACCCATTTGGAATAAAAGCAAATGTTCCTGGTATTTGAAGGGTGTAAATATAGAGTAGTCTCTTCTGTGCTGTGTACAAGCCTACACTTGTATGACCACCGCAATGTGTATTGCAACCTTACCCATGTCTTATCACTAGATTCTTGCATGACTTGCATGAGCAGAGATCTTTATAACAGCATCTTCACTGGGGAATTCTCTTCCAGCCTTTGTACCATAGTCCCTGTGTGCCACTAGCATGAAACAGGCACGGAACAAGAGTCCCCTCTCTTTTCTTTTGCTTGTTGCTGTGCATGTTTTCTGGCAACATATCAGCTGCAGACAATGAGCTGCTATGAAATCCTAGTGTTGCATAGGCTTGACAGACAAATGGAAGAGCTGGGAATGCAGTGAATATCAGAGGTGTGGGGTTTTTTAATTTTGGAGGGTGAAGTGCAAACTGTGGGCTTGAGACAGCTGTGCAGCAAGTGTTCTATATTTGAACAGAGAAATTCAATGTTTTTCCATGTCAGTCTTCCCATATTTGTGGCTAGCTGCAGTGTAGAAACCCAAGGTCAAGCATCATTTGCAGAGTTACAGCATTACATCTGTTCTGTGTACAACAGTGAAAAAAAACTGCTACAAATTTTAGCCTATTGCATGCGAACAACCACTCTTGTGTGCTAGGGTGTCTACCTGAAAGTTCTGGAGGAGCTGGGGTACTTATCAGCTGAAACAAGTTACTGAGGCTTGAGTGTAATTATTTTATATTTCATAACAGTGACTAATTGATATGAGCACCACATTTACAGTGGTTTTTTTTTTTATTCACTGCTTGGATTCAGGATGGTAGAAGGGTCAGAACCAAAGTCTTGAGTAGCTGAAAGGTAATTGTGCTGTGGTTTATTCACTTACACCAACATGAGTCTCCCAGGTGTTAAGACAATTGTTGATTCCCATGCTATATCTGATAAAGTAGTATCATCTAAAGACATCACTATCCTGTAATGCAATCAAGTTGATTTTGACAGAGTTGTGATTATTCATGGCTATTTGAAGGCTGTGTGTAAAATCTGCAATAAGAATTAATCTGGTGCAGATGGAAAGAAGCCTCACTGCCTTGTGGGGCTGACTGGTGGCTTGGTCGCAGTCTGTTGTGCTCCCTTTGGTGGGCCTACAACAAGGAGTTCATCATGAACCATGATCTTTATTTCTGGTAGCTATTAGCCACAGTATGTTGACTGCTCTAGTTATTCACAGTGGAATGAAACATCCACTAAGTCACGCTTCTAGGCATGACTTTTATCTAGAGGCCCTTTCTTTTCCACATAGCATAGCAAACAGAACAGTAAGTTGTCAAATGCCACCTAAGTCCTCGGGCCTTCTGCTTATCAGTTTTGAAAACTAAACCAGTGGAGAGCCAAAAAATTGTCAACACTGTTTGCCTTGTTTCTCTCTTCTGAGGAGCACTGCGCTCACCTCAGTTATGGTGGAGGCAGCTGCTGATTCCAGTTAACGCTGGAGGTTAACTTGGTGGGTTAGAGTTAGTTAGTGGTTAGAGTAGGTGCGCGAGGGCAGCTGCTTATGTCTGAGGAGTACTTTGCTGGTTTTGTTGCTGTATCTTGGAAATATATTTTTCTTGTTGTTTTTCTTGTCTTCAGTGCTAATGAAACAGAAAATAAAATTCACAATATTTTTAGTTGCTCTCACTCAAGGAACAGCGGGAGCCCAGTAGCCCTAATTCCAATGTAAACGTGAGTGTAGATAGGCAGGGAGATTTTAAATTTTCGTTTCACATGTGCAGTAACAGAGATAAATTGATGTCTGTCTGAAAAGTGCTAACTATGAACCACCAATTTGAATCACAGGAACTCTGACATATGAAATACTCCTTCTAAAATATTTCCAATCCCTTTCATCCTGAAAAAGAGATTTTCAATCAGGATTATTGAAACAACAACATTCATTTTCAGTGTCAAATTAACTCTTATTTTACTGTTTTATCCCTTGGGTAAATATTTTTGGTTTATAATTGACAGCTTATAGATGAAAATATCTAGGAATTAGCTTCCCTAGAACAAGACAGTTATTTATGGGCATAAAACTGTTAGATGAACGAGTACATATAAAATACGAAGCTTTAATTCTTATCAAAACTAAGGCAAAGTGGGTGCAGCAATAAGCTTGATTCTATGAGTAATGTTCACTAGTATTTCTCTACATGGATAATACTGAACTTTGGCAAAATGTTAGAGAGTTATTTCAGTGTTCCAGAATATGCCAAGTTTATAAAAGACCTTCTAAGATTAATTTTTTCCTCCTCTCTCCCCTCTAGTTTTTATAACAGGTATCTAAAATAGCTTATTTCTAAATAAATGGTCACTTAAAAATGTCAGAAGAAGAAGATGGAGTAGCCAGTGGAGTTTCCTTCACTGAGGGATCTGATCTGTGCTTTAAGCACCATAGCTTCTCAGCATTACAAAATATTTACATGTTTGATTACAGTTTAGGAAAGGCTGGTTTATCTACAAAAATATTTTTTCATTTTTTTACTTTTGTGTTTACTGTGAGCCCAAGACCTTGGCTGGAATTCAGCTAAATTTCTTTGTGGGGAGAGGAGAGGTATTAGGAGAAATAAGGACTAAGAGTGAAGAGGTCGTATCCTTTGACCCAAACAAATAAAATTTGTGTCTGTGTGTTCAACCACAGAGCTCAGTGACAGAAGCTTTTTTCCTGGAGGACCTTTAGGTTGTCTGGGATATTAGTGGAGTAGTTGCCCTGCAATGAATGATGTGATGTTGCTAAAAAGAGAAGAGTGGAAGCAGATTCTTGAATTCTTTCTCCATCTGTAAGAAGCCATTCATAAAGGCTGAATGGTGGGCATGTGTGCTCGCAAGCAACTGAAACTCCCATCTGTTTTCCTACTTCTAAAAATAACCTCACGTTTGTTAAGATTGGGACTGCCTTCTTTGGTGCTTGGTGTTTGGTAGTCAGGGATATTGGTTATGATCGCAAGCTGGTATTTTAGAGCTGATCATGAAACTACTTTAAAAAAAAAGAAAAATATGATGGTTTTTTTTCATTGAAATGATCTCTTATCACTAAATCCTTAGTGGTGTGAAAAGAGTGAAATGGAAATTGTAATTTCACATTAAAATTCTATCTGGAGAGCCAGTCAAGCACTTTGTGCTGGTAAAAATAGGTTTCTGTGCAGTGTTAGGGCAAACAGAATTACATGTCTGTCTCCTGTAGTGAAATCTCTTCTCTGACTGTAAAAATTGATGGTTATTATTTCTTTTAACCTATTCTTCTCCTTCTTCTATCAGCAAATGAAATTCACTCCTTGACTAGCAGAAATTGAGGATGGGGGGCAGCATAGTTTGACTGAAAATGGTGTCCAAAAGAAAAGACAAATCTCAGTTTCCTTGCCTGCCTGAAGCAAGGTGTTCCACACAGCTGTGTGTGTCAGGGAGAAGGGGCAGAAGGAGATTTCTTGTTAGCAGAAGGCCATTTTGGCCGTGCTGTGAAAAGAGAGGCTGGGTTTGAAGAGAAAGAAAATGCCTTTTATTAGACCGGCTGTTACCACTGGAAAATAGTTAAGCCGTGCCTTCCAACACTTGGTTCCTTAATCTGTGGAGAAACTGAAATCACAGACCCCAGAAATCTTCACGTGGCTGCTAATTATATTTGTCTCTTACCAACAAGAATTTGTTCATTCATCCATCTGCAAGCAGGACACTGTTAATTAGTGGTGAGTGAGTCACAAGTGTGGTTGGGATAGGTGTTAAAAAGCCTTTTGCCACACGGGGATCTGGCTCGGATGCTT